ACGGCTCAGAGGATTGTGTCGATTTTGTGGGAACTGGCTCATGGTGGAAGAACGGTCATCACAACGATTCATCAACCTTCTAGTAGGTTGTTCTATATGTTTGACAAGATTCTTCTCTTATCAGAAGGTAACCCGGTCTACTTCGGGCTTGGATCCAATGCTATGGACTATTTTGCTAGCGTTGGATACTCCCCATCTGTCGAAAGGATTAATCCGTCAGATTTTCTCTTGGACATTGCAAATGGTAAGTCTGTCTTTTTGATTTATTTGTCCGCCCCCATATAGCTTTTTTTTTATTTGTCTCTTTTTTGAATCTCATGTCAAAATATGGATATATTTTACCTATAGGTGTTGGATCAGATGAATCCCAAAGACCAGAGGCTTTGAAGGCAGCTCTGGTTGCGGTTTACAAGACAAATCTGTTGAACAATGTTATCAATGAGGTTAAAGGACAAGACGATCATTATAACCACTCAATAGAGAATTCTGGAGATTCGTCCAAGCATTTTGGAGACTGGCCAACGACATGGTGGCAGCAGTTTTGTGTTCTGTCGAAGAGAGGCCTTAAGCAGAGGCGACATGATTCTTTCTCTGGCCTAAAGATTGGGCAGGTCATTTTCGTGTCTTTCCTATGTGGTCTCCTTTGGTTCAAAACGAACCTTAATCACTTACAAGATCAGGTATTTAGCTTTAACTAGATGCACCATTTTTTTTTGTCTGTCATTGTGTACATACATACATATATATATATATATATATGATATATTCATCTGAGCTTTATTGTTGCAGATAGGGCTATTGTTCTTTATCTCATCCTTCTGGGCATTCTTCCCTCTCTTCCAACAAATCTTCACATTTCCTCAAGAGCGAAAAATGCTCGAAAAAGAACGTTCCTCAGGCATGTACAGGCTCTCCTCTTACTTCATGTCCCGAATTGTCGGGGATCTCCCAATGGAACTTATTCTACCAACGATTTTTCTCATCATCACATATTGGATGGCTGGCTTGAACCCTAACCCTGTAAACTTCTTTCTGACCCTTTTGGTCCTCCTCGTCCACGTCCTGGTCTCTGGTGGGCTAGGACTAGCCCTAGGTGCCCTAGTGATGGATCAAAAGTCAGCCACGACACTCGGGTCAGTCATAATGCTCGCGTTTTTGTTAGCTGGAGGATACTACGTTCGACATGTACCAGTGTTCATCTCCTGGATTCAATACCTATCAATAGGTTACTATACCTATAAACTACTGATATTGGGTCAGTACACGGAGAATCAGTGGTATCCTTGTGGTGAAAATGGGAAACTAAAGTGTTATGTTGGTGACTTCGAAGGTATTAAGCACATAGGCTTTCATAGTGGATTGTCCTCCGCCTTCGCTTTGGCTGTGATGCTTGTTGGTTACAGAATTGTTGCCTATATTGCTTTGATGAGGATTGGTAAGACCAAGTCTGGCTAATACTTAGTTATCTCCACTTTTTGTTTGTTTTGGATTTTAGCACCTTTTTGAGTAATATCGAATGTATAACACCAATAAGTTCTTATATTGCATTATTGTTTTTCGTTAAATCTTTAAATTAATCTATTTTGTCATGATAATCTATGATGGATTATATTATAAAATATTGTAGCCTCTTTGCTAATGCTTTGTATAAATAATTGACTGATTTGGTCCGGCTTAAGTGGTCCTCTGATCAGTCAAATCTCAATAAAGGGAGTTGTATATCAGAATCTAAGTAGTAATGTGAAGAACATGTTCTGTGTGTGTTTAAAAGGAAAGTTCAAAGCCAATTTAATGTTTGCTTATTGGTTATGTGTTCCAAGTCCAGCGCACGCTTTACATGTTATCATTCACATTTTCACCAAATTATTCGTACATGTAAAGATATATGACCTCACGAGGTTTTTTAATACAAACTGCTGATGAATTTGGGATGCATGGTAAACGTACTATGGGCTTCAAATAGGATTATTATCCCATTATTTGAGATACTTCAAGCAGTAATTAAGTGGTGCTACCCGAATAATGTTCTACATTAGTTTCCTTACAAATAAATAATCTACAAGTTCGGCCAGCTTTCTAAAATTTATAGCAGCGTGACGGTTGAAGATTTTTGTGTTCAAAGAAAAAACAGTAACGTCTTTACACAATTGTCTACTAATTACAATTTTGATTTATGGTTAAAATTAGTTTAGTCTATATATGTTAACGGTTATTATTGTTGGAACTGGAAGATTGTGTCGAAATAGAAACTATCTAAGTACTGTATATGCATTTCGAAAAAAGAAAAGAAAAAAAGAACGGTCTAACATCGATCTCTCTATGTTTTAGGTGCTACCACCTACAATTATTTTAGATGAGCCTAAAACTCATAATGGAATAGTCACCAATAAATCATACATAGACCAGATTCTGCATATCTTTATAAGTGATCTTGAATTAATTATGTACACATGTAGAGGGCATAGGCGACGAATTTAGAAAGCATCATGCCTTTTAGATTTTCTTTTTGTTAAGCCTTCGTGATCACCTCACCTTATCTCCTTTAAAGCTTTAAGAAACATGTAACTTCACAAAGAAAAGCATACTTTAGAGACGGGCCATTTATATATACGTATACAACTCACTATTTATTAGATGCGTCCATATTACTTACGATTTATTTAATACCTAATTATATCTTTACAATATAAATATGTTTATTTTCTGTTTTGATATTTGAATTTTTGTGTGTTTATTTTAAAAACAATTCAGTATTCTTATAGTTTTTTTTTGTCGTTAGTATTGTTATAGCTAAGGAGTATATTTTAAGAAAACAAATATGTGAGTTACTCCTATCTCTTATTTGACAAAATTCTGGAAAATAATTAATTTCAAAAATAGACTAAATATTTCAAATAATGAAATAAACCGTTGTGTTGACCAAAAAAAAAGGAAATAAACCGTTGAAAATAAATTTTAGCTATTGGAATCAAGTCAGTCACTTGACATTTAGCATTTAGACACTTAAAATTTTAAGTTAAATGACTATCTTATGACAGTCTTTTTTTTTGTGTGTCAAAATTAAATAGTTTTTTCACATCAACGATAAGTGGTGATCTTCACTCTTCAACATCGTTCCATCCAAAAAGAACAAATAATTAAGCAGCTGCATGATGAACATGTCATTTTGAATCAACCTACTCACGCGCATATTCTGGTGGCAACTTATAGAAGACTAACGCACCAATTCTGCTCTACATGTCGTTTATGCAGAAAACTGACAAATGGACCATATATGATATACCACATATTTCGAGTTTTCGATCCGAACACGAAGATGGTTAATTTTTATAAATAAAGGACATTTTGTGGCAGCTATATCCAGATTTGAACAAATGAAGTTATGGTTTGAGCTATTTGAATTTTTTTCCCCAAACCTATACAATATATATATATATATTTTTTTTTTGTTTGTCAAAATCATAAGAATATTATACGCTAACTAAATAGCGATTGCAGTTATGCAAATCGTTGAACCAAATTTGTCGTATTCTGGCTAATATTCAAAATTTTTATCTCGTAATTAAAAGAAAAGGGTGAGCATGTCCCTCTGATCTCTATGAACAAGAATTCTCCACGTTCACTAAAATCTAAAATCTAAAAGCAAGCGAAAACGAAATGTAAGAAAATTAAATTAAAAAGAAGAAAGAATTATCAAGAAGAAGAAGAATCGAGTTCTTTGAATCGCTCACATGTACTAATATTTAAAGGCTTGTGACCTGTCCAGCATGGTCCATTGTTTTCACTTGTCAACTTCCTTGGCCATTTATAGTATTTCTTGAGTGAAAGAAACCCTATAATTACTATTTTCATTCCGTTATAAATTAAGATAGAGTAAAATATTATGAAGATTGTAATACAATTTTAATACGAATAAACCAAAAACCATTGATAAATAGTATTTTCCTTAGTTACTATAAACATACATTTTCTAGACAATCTTTATAGTATATAAACTAAAGACGATATTTTATTGTTCCCATAATTATTATTATTATTATATTGCGCTCGTTTTAGTAAAATAATAATCTTCTGTGTTTAATCCTCTATACGTGTCTCAAACTAACATATCCTTTCTATTTTTCTTAGAACTTTGTATTTTGTACACTTGTTCAATCAGAACTTTATATTATTATTTTTTCTTCTCTCTTTTCGTCTCTTTTGAATCTTTTATTGAAGTCTTGCCTAACTCTCCCAACACGTGTACATCCCACACGAGCTAAAAATTGCCCTCCACGCGTGTCTGATTATTATATTTTTTGGTTAGTGCTTTTCTTTTTTCCTCGGTAGATTTTTTATCTGTCGAATAGTTAGTGCTTCTTCCTTTCTTTTTCTGACTCCAACGTAGTGCTTCATGAAAAGATAAAATCGATCCGGGCTAATTATTTGGAGAATTCTGATAGATACACATCGTTGTTAGGCTTTCCAGAATTCTAGAAGAATGGACAACTGGCTTGACACGTGTCGATAGACTTCCGCTTTTCCTGATGGTTCATGCACCCGAGCGACACTCAATAGTCGAATAATTGAAATTGAAATCGAAAGCGTTAGTTACTTCGATTTCTCAGTGGCAAGATGTTTACAGTAATTAACTATTTAGAAAGTCAAAATGTCCACCAATAAAATAAGAGAAAAGAAACGACTGCTGTCAATTATTCTGAACTTACTACAAATAGTTAGAGGACCTTTCTCAATTACTCGTAGTTAAAAAAGTTTACTATCACATGACATGAGCAAATCTTGAGTTGTGATATTGCACATTTTTTATATCGCTCGTAAATAGTGGTACAACCCATTGATAAGGTCGGCTAGTTCATATACGTGTCAGTATGTCAATGGTGTAAAAGGGTCCCACGAAGAAAATCGTATTAAGATATTAGAACAGTAAGACAAGGACGACCGTACTTATCCCCCGAAGAACCTTTGCCTTTTCCACAGCCTATATAAAGCATCTAATCACCATGCTTGTCCAAAAGATCGACCAACATTCACATATAATTTTCTGGCTTTTTTAGAGTTGTGAAAACATTTTGTTATTTTTGTTTGCTGGAAGAATCCAAAGTCAGAGGAAAATGGGTGTTAGAGAGAAGGATCCGTTAGCCCAATTGAGTTTGCCTCCGGGTTTTAGATTTTACCCGACAGATGAAGAGCTTCTTGTTCAGTATCTCTGTCGGAAAGTTGCAGGCTATCATTTCTCGCTCCAGGTCATCGGAGATATCGATCTCTACAAGTTCGATCCTTGGGATTTGCCAAGTAAGCAACACTTTTTTTAAGAAGTTCTAGGGTGTTCTTTGTTAAAATTCACTACTTTTTGGTTCAAATTGAGAAAATGCTGAAACCAAGGGACTATTACTGTAAAAAAGTTGCTTATCCTTTTTTTTGGAATTGTGTGGTGTAGGTAAGGCTTTGTTTGGGGAAAAAGAATGGTATTTTTTTAGCCCGAGAGATCGGAAATATCCGAACGGGTCAAGACCCAACAGAGTAGCCGGGTCGGGTTACTGGAAGGCGACGGGTACAGACAAGATCATTACGGCGGATGGTCACCGTGTCGGAATTAAAAAAGCTCTGGTTTTCTACGCCGGAAAAGCTCCAAAAGGCACGAAAACCAACTGGATAATGCACGAGTATCGCTTAATCGAGCATTCTCGTAGCCATGGAAGCTCCAAGGTAAAACTAAGAGATGATTGGAAATTTTCCCCAGATCCGATTGGATAAAAACTTGAAATCAAAAATCGCTAAAATTCTTCAATTTGTTTTCTCTCAGTTGGATGATTGGGTATTGTGCCGAATTTACAAGAAAACGTCAGGAGCTCAGAGACAAGCTGCTCCGGTTCAACCATGCGCTGAAGAGCAAAGCATGAACGGTTCGTCGTCGTCTTCTTCGTCACAGCTCGACGACGTTCTCGATTCGTTCCCGGAGATGAACGATCGGTCTTTTAATCTCCCTCGGATCAATTCGCTGAGGACGCTTCTCAACGGGAATTTCGATTGGGCAAGCTTGGCAAGTCTTCATTCCATCCCGGAATTAGCTCCGACCAACGGGAATTACGGAGGTTACGACGCGTTCCGAGCGGCGGAGGGGGAGGCGGAGAGCGGGTTGAGGAACTCGCAGGTGGTGGATCAGCAGCAGAACTCGAGCGGGAGCGGGTTGACTCAGAGTTTCGGGTACAGCTCGAGCGGGTTGAATCGCGGGTTCGGTATTTCGGGTCAAACATTCGGGTTTAGTCAATGAGGGAGATCGCGTAATTTAATTACTTTCTATTTTAAGTAATTGGGTGACTCAAGATGGGTGGAAAAAGTTGAAAAGATTTTTGAGACTTGAGAGGGTAGAGTGGCAGTTGATGTAAATAGTAGGGAACTATATGGGCCTTTACCGATTCCGTGAGGCTTAGGATTCCAGAAAGGGAAAGGGCTTGGATTATTTATCCAATTTGACGGGCCGCAAATGTAATGTTATTTAAATTCTTTCTCACGGGAGGAAAACAAAAATGTTATTTTGAGATATTACATCTATCAAATAAATGATTACTGTCTCTTCATATCTCCTTTTTCATCAGCATCGTAGATGAATTAAAAAGAAATTTATATAATACACAATTTATTAATTTTTTTTTTTAACAAAGAAGATCTCTCTTTATAATACAAAATATTAGCAAGACTTGATAATAATAATAACAATAATAGTCATCAGCATCAAGATAGCACTTTAGATCTCCACTTTGCTTGCTTTTTATTCTCTTAGTGAGGTTTAGGATCATTCTTTCCGGCAAATGATTCCGTATCCGGAAGATGCCCCACGAGTGCAATCCAATAGTGCGTGCTCGGTCTCCCATCGGATCGAGCCACTTAATCCGTTAAATACGCAAGTCTTGCAGTCGTGAGAGAGTAGAGAAGATGTCCTGAAATTATCCTCGCCTCCAACCATAGGCGTTACGACTCCACGCTTGGCCTGCTTCTGAAAACCGGGCCTATAAGTGCGTCCCAAGACTCCATCTACTTTTGGGGATAGGTTCAAAAACCTAAACTTAACTTCAAGATGCGCAAAACAGTCATTCGAAGTTACTTTGTAGTTGTGGTCCTTGTGTATCCTATCGTCTTCTCTAGTCACAGGAACCACGTTGACCATGATCTCTGCTTTGTCTTTGATCGTCACGGTCACGCTGTTCATTTTTGTAGCTCTCTCGATCTTGATGTCCTTTTCGGGCGAGTACCTGCTCAAAAAACGACATGCTCTTAATTAGTGTCGCGCTTTCAAAATACAAATTCTCAAATATAATTATTTTAAATATAGAAAAATAAGAAATACCTACTTTTACATGCATGTAAACGTAAACTTAGAAACTGTCTTTGTACAATCGCATGTAGCGTAAAGCATATTTGGATATTATTTACCATCTGGAGAGAATCTCCTCGGGGATAACTAAATCTTGGCCGTCGTAAGAGAATCTGAGATGGTCTATGCCGTCGGCCCAAGTGGCCACTTTGGTGGCCTCAAGGGAAAAGTTATGAGAGTTGAAAAGGAGGCCAAGTGCTTGGATCCAAGTGAAGTCTCTAGAACGTCCAGCGGGTCTGTGGCCAGTGAACCTAGCATTGATCTGAACGTCGGTGTCCGAGACAAGGCTAAAATGCTCATTGCTTTTTCCGTGGAAGTAGAACACAAACCCATCACCAGCTATGAACCCCGGGTCGTGACAGCCCGTTGCAGGGTGATAGCAGTTTGGACCCAACCCTAAGCGAACCACGTTCAAAAGAAAAGAAAAAAAAAATTAATTTGAGCTTTATATATTTAAAAACCTTATTACAAAAAAGTTGCAAGTATATATTTTTGCTTACTGCGACACTCGGAATTGCAGAGAGGTTTACTACAATCTACGTAACAAACTCTGTTCATGGAGTTTGCGGCACCGGTGGTGGGGCATTCTTGCGGACACATTATGTACTTCTGGAAGCACTGTTCGTAAGGGTTACTGCAGTAGACTCCTTGTGACTTGGCTTGCAAGAAACATAACATGATTGCAAAAAGCATCATCATTAGCGATGTGGGTTTTGAGATCTCCATTTCTAGCTTTTTTGAAAAAAAAATATATATTATAGAGATCGATATAAGCAGAGAAAGATTTATAGTTGAATTTATAGAGGGCATTCGGCAATTTTTTTTTTTGTTTTAAGAAAACTAACTTATGACAAGATGGGAGTTGCTTGGGATGTGTGCCTAATCTGGATATTACACCCGCCATGCACTTCACGTTTTTCCAACCAATTTAGTTGTAAATATTTTTAATTTGAAATGTGGAGTATATGTATAAGAAAGTTGAAACTTCAAAAATAAATTAAAACGTTTTTAGAAGTTGCGTTCACACGAGCGTGATCTTAGGGTATGACGAGAAACCTTTATTAAAATTTAATATCGTAACTAATGTGGGTTTTGAAGTTTCCATAACTTATGGTTATGAAAGGTTTTCCATAACATTTTCATTAATTCACAATATTGCACTTTGCATATAACCTTCTGCTGAGGGCAATAGTTAATAGCAGGTTCCATTATATAGGTAAACTAAAAAGTTGAATTGGCGGGTTTTCTTTTTTTTTTTTTTCATCAAACAATATATAACTTGGTCGATCTAATTAAATAACTGAGATTTCCTTACAGTTTAGTTGTTAATTAGCTTATTCCTCCATTTATTTTGACAAACATACGAACATAAAAAACAACATTATTTAGATAAAACAAAACAATTAACTTGTTTCAGCAAATTAAGTTTGGATGATAATTACTTCCTGCAGACGATTCCGTTGCCGGAAGATGCCCCACGGCTACAATCTAGAAATGTGTATTCACTTTTGGGCTTGACAGAGCCACTCGGAACAGTTTCTTGTCTAGAGAAAAAACAATTCTTGCAATCATAAGAGAGTAGAGAAGATGTCCTGAAGCTATCCTCGCCTCCCACCACTGGCATTGCGACTCCTGGCTTAGCCGGGTTCTTGAAATCGGGTCTGTAAGTGCGTCCCAAGATTCCGTCGACTTCAGGGGACAGATTTATGAATTTGAACTGGACTTCAAGGTGGGCAAAACAGTCATCTATAGGTAATTCGTAGCTGTGGATCCTATCGTCTTCTTTGGTCACCAGAACCACGTTGACCATGATCTCAGCATTGTCTTTGATCGTCACGATCACACTGTTCTTTTGTGTCAGTCTCTCAATCTTGATGTCTTGTTCAGATGAGTACCTAAGTACAAATGGTTCAAAAAAGAAAGATTCATTGTTTTTTTTTTATGAAGATTATTTGTTTTGCTGTTGTATGTTTTTGCGTTTACAAACATTTTCAATTTTGCGTTTGTTTTCTCCAAAGAAATTTATACAATGTTTACTATTTTAAACAAAAAATGTTTATTAATTGCTAGCGTTACTTAAACGCAAATGGAATGAACCTTTTGTTTCTGTTTACGTTTTAAGAAAAATAGTTTTTGGAAAATTAAAGATGTTGTATTTAATAAAATTGTTTCATATTTTGACCCAAATAAAAATTGGTATTGAAACAATTGTAACAAAAAAAATGAGAATAATCATTACCAGGTGGATAGAGTTTCTTCAGGGATAACCAAATCTTGGCCATCAATATTGAACTTGAGATGGTCGATGTTGCTATCCCAAGTGGCGACTTTGGTTGTCTCAAGGGAGAATTTGTGAGAGTTGAAGAGGAAGCCGAGAGCTTGGATCCATGTTAAGTCTCTGGTGCGACCAGTGGGTCTAAGGCCAGTAAACCTAGCATTGATCTGAACATCATGGTCCGAAACGAGGCTAAAATGTTCATTGCTCTTTCCGTGGAAGTAGAACACAATACTATCACCACCTATAAACCTCGGGTCTAGACAGATGGCTCCAGAGGCTTCACAATTGGGCTTTACCGTTACAAAAAAAATATCATATTCAAATTTTTAAAATTTCTTTAAAATCTAACGTCAGTCAAAAGCTAGTGAAACTTTATTATCACCATGCACATTTAAGAATAAGAATGGTGATTAATTACCGCGACAAACTGCCATGCAAAGGGGTTTAAAGCAATCAACCCAACAAATTTTGTTTTGAGAGTTGGGGGACATGGTGCTCGGGCACTCTTCAGGACAGTCGATATGTATTGGAGCTGGCATCGAGGAGCCGCGTTGCCACCACAGTAAGTCTGACCATGCCAAGCCTTGGCCTGCAATAAACAAGAAGCCAACACGACAATTATCACTATCAATGAGGTTTTTGGGACCTCCATCCTCGATATATAATTATTTTGGCCGAGCTTAGTGTGGAATCTAAATGGATAGGGAAGAAGAGAGAAGATGGTGTAGTTGTGTTGGGGATTGATGAGTATTTCGATTGTGAATTTTAAAGAGCGTTAAAGTCAAATTATTTTCTTCAGAGGATGGCTACTGTGCAGTTCTTGTGAAGTAAGGTTAGTTCGGTAAAAAAATAAAAGTTAACCTATACTATTATATCAAACAAGGTGGCTGAAATTTGTTCTTAAAATAATTTGCATCGAGATACAATTACACGTAGACGCCTGAATATACGTGTCTATACATATATTTGTAGTTGTTGTTAAAAAAACATATATTTGTATTAATTTATACAAGTCTATTTAAGCAGTGTGACATATTGTTTGTTGTATAGAAAGACCACTGAAAGAAAGGACCAATTTTTTTTTAATTTTTTTTTTAAGAAAGGAGATTTTTATTCTAAGATTAATCTGAAACCACGGCAACCTAGAAACTCGATGGTAATCAAAAATTGTATAAGTGACTTTTACGAAAGTGAAAACGTGCAATCTGTTATTGCATTTCCACTTAATCTCAGTTAATGTATAAAATAAAAATCCAAACGAATTTCTCTCTCAATCCGATCGTATCAATACATAATGCAACTTGAACTTTAGTCCCTTAAATCGGAGTTACATATTTATTAAACTTTGAGGCGCGTATCAAGTAAATAAAATAGGACAAAAAATAAAAATAATGCGGTGAGCGTGGATCGAACACGCGACCTTCAGATCTTCAGTCTGACGCTCTCCCAACTGAGCTATCCCCGCATGTTGACTAATCTCGTTAGTCTTTGTTTATAATAACTGAATTATCAAATCATCAAAACCACCATTTGTTGATGAACTTGAGCTTTGTATTCGGAAAACAAATTCAGACGATGGCTTCGACTCCGCAAATTATCCTTTGTAACTTCTCCATACACGATGGTTTCACCAAGGAACCCAGAAGTAGATTACACGCGAAAGTACGGAGCTTGGTTCCTTCTCTGCTCCAAAACAATCTGGGATTGAGAGCTTGCTTGATTGAGCATAGACAGAGCCGGAGAGAGCGACGGCCTTTGATGGGTCTGACAGAAATTGGAATTCTTGCGAGTCAGAAAGCTCTTAATCGAAAAAGAAGAGTGGTTAAGGTTAGCTGTAACAAGGGTTTAGGGTTTAACGGCAGAGATAACAACGGAAACGGGAGAATCCTCGGAAACCTTGCTTTGGCTATTGGCCTGACTTATCTCTCTATGACCGGTCAGCTTGGTTGGGTTCTGGACGCTATTGTGTCCGTCTGGGTAATTAATTATTCTCTGGTTATCTAATTGTACTGTGCATTTTTGGGAATTTTGCCTTTTTGATTAACTGAAATTCTTACAATCTGCAGCTGATTGTGGTGATTGTTCCGATTTTGGGGTTGGGAGCTTTTCTATGGTGGGCACAACGAGATATTGTACAGAGCAGTGTAAGTCTTCTTTTTTCTCTTTGGCTTAAGACAGCATCTCCAGAATTTGCAGAAAGACCGAGTCTTTACCATAACTGAGGGCGATCATTTACTGTTAGCTAGCACTTGTGTGTTTGAGTTAAATACTTCAAGATTGTGTTCTATTTAGCTATCTTGCGATTTTTTCATCTCTCGTTACGCTTTGTGCAGTGTCCGAATTGCGGAAACGAATTTCAGATATTCAAGTAAGGATATAACAAGAAGCAAATTTCCTTGATTGTTTTTGTTGCTTCCCCAAATCTGCTGACTAATTATCGAAATCGCTGCAGGTCATCGTTGGACGATGAAGTACAGCTTTGCCCTTTCTGCACTCAGCCATTCTCGGGTAAAAAGATGATTCCTTCACCTTTCGATTTATCAAAGCACATCTCTTTTCTGTAAGCATTAGCATTGTTTCTTTTTTCACTTAATGCAGTGGTGGATGATAAGTTCGTTATGGAACCAGTGAAATTCTCAAACCAAACTACTGATTTCGGACAAGGCCTAAATGGGTTCTCTTCTGCACCTAAGAAAGGTTCTTTCTTACTTACCCGAATCTCTGTATTATCTCTGCGCAAACCAGGGAGCGCTATCTCTTGTGAATCCAATTGTGAGGTGAAGTTTTTTGATTGTGTAGGAAAGGGTTTCTCAACAGCAGTCGTAGACATAGAAGCTGAAGTAACGGATGCAGACTGAAAATACCACTTCGACCTAGCAAAGGTGATTTTGTAGAGACAACAAACTTGTGCAAAGAGATCGTTGTTGGATATAGAAGTAATATAGAAATACACATCGATATGTAAATACAGTATAAATCACATTTTGTTATTTGAATGCTTGTTTGATGTTCAAAATAGTAGTCCCCCATGTATGCATGTTTTATGTTCTTTCCATTTAATCCCCCAGGCTTGAGATAATGTCTTGTACATTCCTCTGTTTTGGTATTCTATGAAGGTGAGAATTTCTTTATGAAAATAAAACAGTTTTACCATTTGATTAATCCATTAAAATTGTATAACTGAAGAAAAAGTACAAACTTGCAGAAACCCCTTTTTTAAGACAAGCATAGACGTTAACAAGATCAAAAATAGACAACCGAACTTTCAAAACTCTTCCTATCTTTTTCCTTTGTAGCTTAAAACCAAAATCATTCATACAATTTCTTGGCCGAAATAGTTCTTAGAGTTTTTTCTTCGTTCTTTGTAGCTTTCTCTTCATACTTCTCGTTCAATGCTATAGCTTTAGCCACAGCTTTCATCTTCCTCACATTCTTCGTTCTCTTCATAGGTTTCCCTTTCTCTGAACACTTCTCCTCCAATGCTAAAGCTTTGGCCACAGCTTTCATCTTCCTCGCATTCCTCCTCGTTTTCTTCATAGGTATTCCTTTCTTCATGTTTGTCCTAAAGAAAATGGGTAAATAATTAGAAATCATCCGGATTAAAGACAATCCTAGTACAGTGGTCAAATAAAACATCAAACATGAGCAGGTCTCTTAACAAAAACACGTTCTAAAGTTTCCAAATTTAAGCATTTCATGCCTTGGTACTTACTCCTGTCCGAGATTCTCTCATATCAACAGGTTGCATAATATCTCGAGCTAACTAACCATTGGTCTAATAAGACGGTAGAAAACTAGATGATTTAATGAACTCCAGATCCAACCTTAGAGGACCAGAAGAAGAGAGCAATTCACAATGGAACGCTCACACTAAGAGAAACCCAACCAAAACTTTTCATAATGAAATCTAAGTAGTTCAGCTTGTAAAGATTAGGTTGTTAACACTTACAAGTTACGAGAACGATCACGAGCAGCTAGTTTCGCGTCTCCTGTCTCCGTAGTGTCCATGGCTAACGAAATCAAGAATAAATGGAAAATTAAACACCTTCAATCTCTAAACGAGTACGGACTTGAGCTTAATAAACTAAGACGCGATTTTTACCTTCAGGGGCAGCTTCAGAGACGCTCTTAGTTTCGGAGACGTCCATGGAAACGGCGTCGTCTCTCTTCTTCTTGTTCCTACTCTTCGTCATGGCTGATTCGGCGGTCTAATGCAGACGGCGGAGCAAGAGAGAGAAAGAGGTAGAGACGGAACAAATCGATTTTAGATTTCACCTAATAATGTCGGGTCAATTTACACATTCGGGTCTATTTTATTGGGCCTATGTTTTATTAAAAGCCCATTCGAAGGTTTTATTTTCTCGTTTGTTTTTCAGTGCTCTGTTTTTCAAATTCATATTTGTCTTATATTCTTCGTTGGAAATGGCTCTCTGTTTTCTTTGCTCTCGTTGGCAAAATTCAGTTTCTTTTTTGTTTAAGGTTTGTTGTTATTTTGTTTTTTCAGTTATTTTCATAGTATTCGTGTTTGGCTATTTTTCGCTTCCTGAATTTCTTCGACAAGCTTCGAAATTTACAGTGTTGAGAGATTCTTCGTTAAAAATTTCTGGTTTTTAAATTCTACTGGCTTTCAATGCTTTACATGATTTGAAAAATTATGGAGCTCGGGTGGCCCGAAAATGCTTGTTGATTAAACACTCGTCGCTTTTTGGTTCTTTTTGTTTTTGGGTCGGTGAATTTTGAGGAAGCCAATGACTTTATCGCCGTCTCCGACCATATTGATGGAAAGTTCACTGGAGGAGACGCCGGAGTCTCTTCGCCGGCATGACGCGTGCGAGATGTTGAAGGATAAGTCTCCGTCGCTTCCTTCTCGGCTTACTTCCAGAGCACAAATGCTGTCGATTCGTCAATCGCTTCCGGCGAACTTCCGTGATAGGATTCCGCCGGAAAACGAGAGCAAAGAGAAAGAAGAGAAGGATTGGAGCAAGAAAACGAGGACTGAGAAGATCACAGAGGAGCATGAACCCGAATGGGTCAATAACGTTGAGTATTTCATCAACGAGGTATGTAATTGATTGCTTCTTTCTAGTTTCTTTTTGATGATATGATATGAATAAATTACAGTTTTTGGTACTTGTGTGTTTTTACAAGACAGTGTGTTTCTGTTTTATTTACAGGAACTTTGTGTTTGGTGTCGGGTTTCTAATGGGGAGTGGCACTTGGGGAAGATACAATCTACTTCTGGTGATGCAGCGTGGGTTATGTTATCCACTGCCCAAGTGAGTTCTTTCAGAAAATTTTATAAATTTTCGTAAGATATGGAAACGACTTATAATGTGCTTGACAATGTATCATTTTGTGTGTATCGAATTAGGTTGTGAAAGTATCAATGAAAGAGATTTTCCCTGCAAATCCAGATATTTCTGAGGGAGTTGAAGACCTTATACAGCTTAGTTATCTGAATGAACCATCTGTTCTTCACAACCTCCGGGTCAGATATTCACAAGACTTGATTTATGTAAGTTTATTATAAGGATAAAAAATCTGTTTCTGTTTGTTTATTCCTTTTTGTAGGTGTAGCCGAGTCTTTTAACATAATTTCATGTTTCTTTATTATAGAGTAAAGCAGGGCCAGTTTTGATTGCGGTGAATCCTTTTAAGAAGGTCCAGATTTATGGAAATAATATTCTATCAGCCTATCAGAAGAAGTCTTTGGATGCTCCTCATGTTTATGCAGTGGCAGATGCAGCTTACGATGAGATCATGAGAGGTGAGCAGAAGGATAATCCTTTCACACTTTTTTTTTTTGTTTCTCTATAAATTGTGAAACCTAGTAACTTTGCCATGGTGTTAAAATCGTTATTTTCTGGCGTTTTTACATTTTTAAATGTTTCTTTACGCAGAGGAGAAGAACCAATCTATTATCATAAGGTATGACGAGGTTTACATTCTGAAAGCTTTTTGTCTACATATACGATGATTTGGCTATGCACATTTCAAGGTGACTTCTGATATTGATATCATACCATAGTGGAGAAAGCGGAGCTGGGAAAACTGAGACAGCAAAGTATGCAATGCAGTACTTGGAAGCTCTTGGTGGAGGTAGCTTTGGGGTAGAGAATGAAATCCTAAAGACAAACTGTATACTTGAAGCTTTTGGGAATGCTAAAACATCAAGAAACGATAACTCTAGCCGATTCGTGAGTAATTGTACATACTTCCTTTTTTCTTCCAGTGATTGGAATCTTCCTCTTCTTTAAAATACAAAGAAAAAAAAATCATTTCTTTAGAATTTGAACGTTCGTGTCAACCGACTAGTGTAACTGACATTCTGTAAATCGAGAAGTGGTTTGGATTCAATGGTAAATATGAATTGTTGCAGGGAAAACTGATGGAGATTCATTTTAGTGCAAAGGGAAAAATATGCGGAGCCAAACTTGAAACTTGTGAGTAAAGAGTTGAACATTTCTATGATTGTTTGTCATATTTTCTTCACTATGGAGCTCTCATGTTTGTTTTATTTCCTCACCATGATTGTGTGACTACTTGTGCTGAATGACCACAGTTCTGCTAGAAAAGGTAATTTTGTTTTCTGTTGAGAGGTTTTAGTCAGATTCCACTTGTTAGCTATTCATGGGCTAATTTTAGTAGTCTCTTTGGATCAGTCAAGAGTTGTTCAGTTGTCCAATGGCGAGAGATCCTACCATATCTTTTATGAGTTGTGTGCAGGAGCTTCACCGATTCTTAAAGGTAACATTTCAAACCGAAACATCTAAGAAAGTGTCCCTGCTCATGGCTGCGAAACTAGAACTTGCTAGACCATTTCTTATATGATTTTTATTTTACAGAAAAGTTGAAGCTTAAAGCAGCAAGTGAATACAATTATTTGAACCAGAGCAATTGCTTAACCATTGACCCCATTGATTATGCTCAGAAATTTCATAAACTGATGGTAACTTTTTTTTTTTTTTTTTTTTCTGTTTCCTGTGCCTTTCTCTGTTTCCCATGGAGTAAATGCCAGATTTTTTTTTTTTGTAATTTCTTATTTCGTCAGAGATTTCTCTGTTATTGTAGGAAGCTTTCAACATTGTTCAAATTCCTCAAGACTATCAAGAACGTGCATTTGCACTGCTTGCAGCTGTGTTATGGTTAGGGAATGTATCTTTTGAAGTGATTGACAACGAAAACCATGTGGAAGTGGTAGCAGATGAAGGTAGAATCTGTTGTCTTGTCATGTATCATGTTAAACTTGTGGACTGGTTGTGACCTTACTAGGCTTAAGTAAGGCGATGCTTATAATTTTGCTCTTGTTTCTGTCAGCTGTCACTAATGTAGCTATGTTAATGGGATGCAACTCACAAGATCTTATGGTGGTTTTGTCTACTTGCAAGCTCCAAGCTGGTAGAGACTGCATTGCTAAAAGACTGACACTGCGACAGGTTTGTGTAATAGCCATAATATCAAAGAGCAGTCATAATTTCTATACATCTAAATGTCGAATTGCTTTGCCATATATGCAGGCAACTGATATGAGGGATTCCCTAGCAAAAACCATCTATGCAAGCCTTTTCGACTGGCTTGTTGAGCAGATAAATACTTCACTGGAAGTTGGTAGATTACGTACAGGAAGATCTATTAGTATCCTTGATATATATGGGTTTGAGTCATTTAAGGTTCGTAACCGTGCTCGAGATTTGTTAATCTTTGTTTCTTTTGAGTGTGTTAATGATCATGTCTCATTGGTTTTAGACTAATAGCTTTGAACAATTCTGCATAAACTATGCAAATGAAAGACTGCAGCAACATTTTAATCGGCATCTATTTCAACTTGAACAAGAGGTGGTGATCTTTTTTCTCTGAAGCCTAATCATATGAAATTGTGTTTCTTTGTTTTCCTTACCAATTAAATCTTGGCTTCTCAGGAATATGAAGGGGATGGAATTGATTGGACTAAGCTCGGATTCAAAGACAATCAAGAGTGTCTAGATCTGATTGAGAAGGTAATTTTATAGCTTGCCATCTTTAAATTTTGTTTTTCTTTTCTCCATATGCAAAGATATGGTATGATGTTTTGCTTTAAGCTATGGACATTAAAGTTTCTTTCTTCCATGTTTCTTGTACGTATGGTTGCTAGTGCAGAAACCCATTTGTTTGGTACCACTACTAGATGAGGAATCAAATTTCCCAAAGTCGACTGATACAACGTTTGCCAACAAGCTGAAACAGCATTTGAAGGCTAACTCTTGTTTCAGGGGAGAAAGAGGTCGCGGATTCAGAGTTAGCCATTATGCTGGAGAGGTTGGTTGTTTAGTTGTTATGTGATAAAAAACTGTGAAATTATTAAGAGAAGGAACAAATATGAGATTTATTTACGTTATGGTTTTTAATAGGTTCTCTATGATACAAATGGCTTCCTGGACAAGAACAGAGATCCAGTGCATGTTGATCTTATCCAACTTTTATCATCATGCAAATGTCAATTACTGAACCTGTTTTCTACTAAGATGCGTCACAAGTCTCTAAATCCGGCAACTTTTTCCGAATCCATGAATCAAAGTGTGATTACAAAGTTTAAGGTAACAAAGCTATCATGGTTGAAATCTTCATTCATGAATTTTCAATCATCTCTTAAAAACTTTTATTATGCTTTACAGGGCCAACTTTTCAAGTTGATGAACAAGTTAGAAGGCACCACTCCTCACTTTATCCGGTGCATAAAGCCAAATTCAAATCAGCTACCTGGAATTTACGAAGAGAATCATGTTCTACAACAGCTTAGATGTTGTGGCGTTTTGGAGGTTGTTAGAATATCAAAATCAGGATATCCTACTCGGTTGACACATCAGGAGCTTGCGGCAAGGTGTGGTCACGATGCACCCTTTTTGTTTATAAATCTATTTGTTCCAAACTCACTTGTATTCCTAAGCTTTTGTCTTTGTTGGCTTTGTTCACGTATTAGATATGGATTCCTATTGCTGGACACAAAAAGTTCTCAGGATCCACTTAGCACATCAAATGCTATTATGAAGCAATTCAATCTTCCTCCTGAAATGTATCAAGTTGGTTATACAAAGACATACCTCCGAACTGGGCAAGTAAGTTGTCTTTTCTTGGAGATACCATGTTGGTTTCCTGATCCTCTATATACAATAATAACGCTTTCATCTTTATATTTAATAGATTGGCGTCCTTGAGGAAAGAAGAAGATATTTTCTGCGTGGCATACGTGGATTACAGAAGCAATTTCGTGGTTATCAGACCCGTGAATACTTCCACAATATGAGGAATGCGGCAGTGACACTTCAATCTTGTAAACGCTCACATATATGTCTCGTGTTTCCTTTACTTAATAGGTGCATTTCTCTTCTACTTCTCTTTGATTTGATGGCTAACTTTATTTTGTTGCTACAGATATCCGCGGTGAAATCGCCAGGAGAGAGTATATTGCTATGGAAAAATCGGCTATTCTTTCCTCAGGAAAAACTCAAGAGGTTGATGCAGTCATACACTTGCAATCTGGTAAGTATTCGGTAGTCTTCCTTATGGCATCAAGAACTTGTTTTTCCATCTTGGATAAGATTTCAATTTATAGCTGTTCACTTTTTATGTAGTGGTACGCGGATGGTTGGTTCGTAAACACTTAGAAAATAGTATGCAAGAGAAAAAACAATCACGCAATGAGAAGAAAAAACCGAGAAGAAAGTCAAGGAGGAGTATTTCAGAAGACAAGGTACTATTTAATTTGCCTCATGTAAATGTCTATAGGTTATCCACTGCTGAAACTTATTACTAACTTTCTTGTATAGGACCTTCTTTTTGAGGAGTTTCAGGTCCGATCTTGCGCTCTTGCTGATCTCCAGAGCCGGGTTCAAAAAGTCGAAGCAGCTATTTTGCAGAAGGAAGTGGAAAACACTGCATTGATGGAGGAGTTGCAACGATTTAAGGTAAAATGGTTAGAGCACGAGACAAGAATGAAGTCAATGGAGGAAACATGGCAAAAACATATGTCATCAGTGCAGGTAAAAGTGACTAAGTGTCTTTACGCCCATCACTGCGCGTAATAACAATCCTGCATACATACTTATAATTATGATCTTGAAAGTGGAATATGTGCCTTTGCAGATGAGTCTCGCAGCTGCCTGTAAGATTCTGGCTCCAGAAAAGATTGCTAGTCATGGTAATGACTCAGAGGACACAATGTCCCTTGGAACTCCGACAAAAGAGCTTAAGGGTAGCTTGAATGATGTTAACAATCTTCCTGTAGAATTTGATCAACGTAGAGTCGTATTTGATGAAGATGTGAAGTGTCATGTAGAAATGAGATCAGAACCAGACTCGATCTCAGTCAAGAAGCAGGATGCAGAAAAAGAACTCAGTAATCTGAAGTTAAGATTTGAGAAATGGAAGAAAGATTACAGAGCAAGACTACGAGGGACAAAGGCAAGGCTCCGGTTAAATGGAAATAAAGGTCGTCACCGGAAGTGGTGGTGCAAGAAAAGCTTTTTGAAATTAGATCTCGTAGACTCATATTAGTTTTAGGACTTGAAACCATGTAAATTCCACATTAATATAAAGTTCCAATCTAACCGGATGGTAAGGAAAAAAGCTAAACAAAATTTGATCTATGAGACTTTTTTTTTTAAAACAAAGATCTATGAGTCTATGACCAAAAAGTTTTACACATGAAATAAATGAACAAAAAAAAATTTAGAAATCGCAAGAATTGAGATCTTTTGGATGTTGTCGACCACTTATGATATGAAAATATTATCCTAATAATTATTATATCGTGTTATATCGTAATAAAAATATAAACTTCTAACACATTAATAAATTTATATTTTTATAATAATATAGCACGATATAATAATTATTAGAATAATATTTCATGTCATTGTGGAAGTTTGTAATCTCCAATATCAGTTATTATTGATCTAATGTGGTTAACAGCATTTTCATTACACTTGCCTCTCAAAGTTTGCATGGCAGGCAGCGATTTATGAAATGTGGAGATAGCCTAATTGTAGGCTCCATCCAAACTCCCACAGGTCTGTGAACCTTGTTTTGGCGAATGATTGCATGCAATATTGGTTCTCATTGCAGTAGTCTTGTTCTGTTGTTCTTGGTGTTCCGTCGTTGGAGATATCGATTGATCTTCTTCCCCTTAGGGATTTCTGGTCCTGCTCCTATTGATGCTCTGGGCCTCTTAAATTTGGGCTGGGCTCATTCATCCAAAATCATCTCTCATTCAGGATATCTTCTACGTCTTCGCCAGTTATCTCCCAATTAGCATAATTTGCAATGGAGTTTGGTTTTTCGATTATGAGTTTGTGATTATTGTTGACTTGCTGTAACCTTATAAGATGTTTTTTAAAAAAAAACATTAATAATTTTCCTTTTTTTTTTAAGTAATATGGAAACAAATGTTTGAAAATTAAAATCTAATAAACATGGAACTAAATTTAAGAAAAATAAAATAATTACCAAAAAATATAAATATTTGTGTTGACTAAAAGAAATCGTAAAGGAAAACTTACGTCGATAAAACCTTTAGACTCTTCATTTTTAAAACTCAAACTTGTAATCTTCAGAACGATGAATTTTCAGAAATCTGATTCCGATTACAACTGAACAACATAAAGAGTATATTAACCCTTTTTGAGCAGTGTTGTTTGTGCTGACGCGGGCGATAATAACTTCGAGGTAATCAACTAATTTTTTAAAAATATTTTTTAGGTTGATTATATAGTTGAAGAAAATATTGTTCTAATAGTAAAGAGAAAAATTATACTTTTTATTTTATAAATTAGTTAAAAATCAATTGATTGTTTAATCGTTAGTTAGAACTCGCAAAATATATGAGATCTGATCTGAGATCCGATCAGATCAAGGCTAAAAATAAGATATTCAAAGGTTCATAAATCTGGATCTATGTATTTTGATAAAAATCAGCATATCTATATCTGCTTTATATATAATTTTATATATTTTTAATATGATTAGAATGAATATTATAAAATTAGTTTTGAAAGGTTTTACATGATATTTGTAATTAATTTTTTTATTATGTATATGATTTTCATTGTAATTTATATTATTATTTTAAATTTTAGCTATTTTAGGCGGCTTTAGATTGGATTTACGTGAATCCATATAATATTTGAATATGTAGTGGTATTAGCAAATCGATTTGGATAGTTATTTTTAACTGAAATTTTATTTTAAAAATTGTTTTTTTTCTTTTGTCCCCAATATAAATTATTTTTTCTCAACACGATTTTTTTTAATACCACAACTGTTGAAAAACATTATAAAAATATTATGGAAAATTAATGTTTTACAAGAATGGTTTCGAAAGGCTTAGGAACCATTTTTAAAGGTTTTAAGAACTTTTCTGAAAAACAAATATGTGAAAGAAAAAAAATTGATAATGTATAATTAGAACGAGATTTAAGAATTTTATAAAATCTTGAAATGAGAGAATAATTTACTAAGTGAAATGAAATTTTAATGTTTTCATTTCACTTAGAAAATACACTAACAAAATTACTTATTTTTAAATTCTTGAATTAGGCTCGATTCCCGTTGATTTGCTGCTGACTAACTTCAAACGACGATGGTTGTAATCACTGAAACTTCCGACGACGTTAATGGCGGCGATCGAGGTCCAAACAAGAACTCGCAACAACTCCATAATAAACGGAAAAAAGTCGAGAAAAAGACTTCTTTCCACATTCCAGACGGAGTCACCGAAATAATCTTCGCATGGGTTAGGAGACGTGGTCACCCTGTTCTATCTCTCGTCTCCAAGGCCTTTGGTGGCCTCATCAATACTCCGAGATTCTACGACTTGCGCTTGCGCCTTGGCGCTACCGAACCCGTCCTTTACGCTTGCGTGGGACCCACTCCTTGGTTCAGAGGCCCTAAGTGGTGTATCCTAATTAAGAAACCCTACAGAAACTTGACGGACACGGTTTCTCTGCGATTGCATGAAATCCCCTCACTCCCTCCAATGCCTTGGGGATCTGCTGTGGTCACAGTCGGGCACGAGATGTATGTGATCGGTGGATGCATTGGCCTGACCCGCACAAATGTTGTGTATGTCATCGACTGCAGATTCCACACGTGTCGCATCCTCTTCGGTATGCGAGTGGCTCGTTACCGCGCAGCGGCCGGAGTGTTCGACGGGAAGATATACGTGGTTGGAGGATGTGAGATGCGAGCTATGGATTGGGTGGAAATATACGATCTAAAAGGTAAGTTTTGGATTGGAAGCAGGTGGACAAATGGCATACCACTTAACGTGAGTTGCAAGTTTGTGACATACGCGGTTATGGAGAAGCAAATATACATATTGGGTGACAGAATGTGTTATATTTACACTCCTGGAGGACAAGGAGGTTCATTGGAGTACGTGATGCCAGGAGAATTTATGAGTTTTTTGTGGCAAGAGTCGTCTTGTGTGATTGATGGTTTGTTGTATTCCATTAATCTTCCTCAACGGGGGATTGATGCATCTCCAATAATCGTTTATGATCCAAAGCAGAAGACTTGGAGACCCTTGACTGGTTTACAAGGTTTTCCGGCTAATATCCATCTCCGCTCCTCTAAAATGGCGAATTTTGGTGGGAAGTTGGTGATTCTGGGAACCGATGAGTATTGGTATAATTGGAATAAAGGGAAAAGAGAGATTTGGTGCGTAGAGATCACTTTGGAAAGAAGTCATGGAGGTGAGGTTTCGGGGAAGGTCGAATCAGTAGCGGTTGTGCGTACAGTCCCAGAGTCATTGGCTTCAATTGATGTTTGTGGAACTGCTAATGTATGATGATCGTGCATTCTTACAGGTATATTATATATGCTTATGGTCATGGGTATGAACTTTTGATGATGAATTGTAGTTAGCTTCCAAAACATACTTGTCTTTTCATTAACTTTCAGGATCTTTATGAAGCAAAGTGGCTAAGAAGTTGTTATCTGACACCGTAAGACCTAAAGCTGTGTTGAGTATGCTACTTTTTTAGCTGCCTTTATTTAAAAATAATAATAATTTTAAACAATAAAATAAAATCTTAAGAAACTTGTTGAACTGCATCTTTCTTTGGTTTGCTATGTTTTTTCTATTTGCTTTTTGATATGTAATGCCTCTGATCACAATCAGATATAATAAAGCCCAATGTTACGGGTTATATACTCATATGAAACCTTGGTTTATAGAATTGCATTTTACTATTTTTTTTTAAGGGAACAATACTCGTATGGTATGAGCTTTCGGTATATTTCTTAAGCAGTAGGATATGCTATTCTTTTAGCTTATGTACAATTTATACGATACTTAGCTTGTTGTTGTTGTAACATTTTTTCCTTTTTTTTTTCTTTCCGATTCCAAAAGCAAACAGAAGAAATGTAAAAATTAGTGAAGTTGCTGTGAAGAAAACTAGGATACATTACATAAATCCAGTAAAGGACTAGATGATTATTTTTTCACAACATTGTCTAAATGGGCTAGACAGTGATCGGTTCGGACTCCGGTTCACCAGCTGATCCCTTAAAAAGCAAAATGGTGAGGCTGCCAACAGAGAAATGGATGAAGCAGCCACTGCAATGAGTCACGAATGATCCGAAATGTGTCCCCGCAATACACTGCCACCCCAATCCGTATTTTCTATCAAATTCCTGAAACATATATATCAAAGAATTGAATTTTGTTATAACATTCAAATTCATATTTCATTTCATTATATATGTACACTATGTATAGGTAGAAATACAAGTCCAATCAAGAGTTATACGCTAATTAATAACACTTATTATATGGTTAACATAGTTAATACTAATAATTAGTTGTATATGTACCTTCTTGATGAAACGAGCGATTAGAGTGGGTTCGGTGACATCAAAGCAATCAAGGGCTTTAGCGGCCAAACTGAGAGCATCCTCCTTCATTGTTTGCTTCATATCTGTCTCTCCCATTACTGCTTTCCCTTCTAACATCCTTTTCTTTATTATTATTAAAAAAAAAATTTGAACTCGAGGAATAACTGAATAAGTACTGAATCAAGTGAGTTTATGAATATATATATATGGAAAAATGATTGGATGGTGAGTGATGAAGCTCCTAGATAGTGGTGGAGATTTTATTGGAACTTACATGAAGTTTGTTTTTTGGCTGGTCGTGGATCCATCAACCACATGGATTTCCATAGACCAGTCGTATGTGGTCGAAACCAAATCATACAATCGACTTCAAATATGAATCTGTATACAACATACATCATTAGATATAATCATTTAGTGATCATTGTTTTTGGATTTGGTTAAAGGGTATACATTTTTTGGTCCCAGGCTTCCAGCACAATTTTTCAGAATTTTCGTCTAACCAGTAACCACAGTTGTCTTATATTCTTATGAATTATGAGATACGTATCTAGCTAGATAATAAAGTGGTACTATGGTAATTTAATAATATGAGATTTTAGTACACTTTAACCATAATTAATATCTTTGACCTCCTATACAAAATCAGTGTCGTTAACGTGTTGTATTAAGGCATAGGATATGTTTTAACTCACTCCTAATTTGGGATGTTGTGTGACATGTTGTAAAGAAAACAAAATTGTGAGTGGGTATGATTGAACAAGTAATAGAAAAGCACAAGCAAGATTATAGGAGCAAAATGAGTGAAGGGAAGAAGAAGGGACAAAATATATGTGGTTCTCCTTCTTAAAGCTAATTGTTCATTAATGGAGGAATAAACAATGAACAAAACAAAAGAAAATGGAATTCAATTCCAATCAAAGTCAAATTTAATTTGAAGTCATAAATCAAGATTTGTAAGTGTAGTTGGCTCTTAATTTTATCGTACGTACTGATCCAATATTTTTTAAAACAGTATACTGTCAAGTAATTTTCAACTTAAATTTGGGTTACTGATCCAATATTTTTTAAAACAGTTGTTATAAAATTAATTTGAACTGCAATTTGGGTGTTTTTGATTTAAATATATATATATATATATATATGTTGTAGCTAGTAAATATTCTCTATAGTAACTTTGTAATGTCTTTACAATGATAAATGAAATAAGAAGTTAAAAACAAAAACAAAATAAAAAACGTGGAAAACCATTTATAGTAAGGCGATTAGGGTTTCTAAAAATCTTAGCGCCGCCACCTCCGGTGAGCCTCACGCTCGCCGGTGAGAATTTCTTCCTCTCTCTCCCTCCTCTTCTTTTCTGGTTGTTTGTTTCTTCTTCATCTTCCTGTTTGTTTTTCGCAAATGTCTTCTCCAGATCTGCTTGCTTCGATGCCTCTGGCAGAGCCGCTGTCGGTTCGCATGCTGCCAGATCTGCTCACGGAGATCCCTTATCTCGTCCCTCTCGAACCTCCAGACCCTCCCGACCCACCGGATCTAACTTGCCTCAGCCGAGTTTGTTTCGTCGCTATCTCCTCCATCTCCTTTCATCCTCCGCTTTGCTGTCCGGATCTTTTAGAGTCACGAATTCGCCACTGTCCCACCACCGTCAGAGCATTGTGCTTCTCTCCTGTGGTTTCCACATCCCCTTTCCCGATTCCGCAGGTTTGCCTCTACTCACTCTCCGATTCTTCCTTGTCTGAAAGATATTGGGTGCTTGTTGAGTGGATGGTGCTGTTTTTGTGGACTCTGGTTGTAGTTTTGTCTGTTACGATGGTTTCCATTGTTTCACCCTTGTGCCCTCTTGTGGCATCTATTTCGATTTGTTTGACAGGCAAAAAAGTATTATGAGTAAATCCAAGGCATTTTTGTCCATGGTGTTTATACTTTTTCCTGCAACTCTCACAAATGATAATTGCCAAATCAAAGGTTATTGGAGTAAACCCAAAGCTTCTCCGCTTGTGGTGTCCACACTCTTTCATGAAACTCTTACAGATTTAACATGTCAAATCTTTGCGTTTTGGAGAGAAGACGAGAGACAAAAAGCTCCTTGTAGCTTCTCTCAAGTTTCAGATTTCGCCTCCCTTTTAGTGGCAGAAAGGATGGCAACCCTTACGGCTCATTCTCAAGCCGCCTCTGAAGTATTAAGGACAATATCGGTTGAAACCGAATCCTTACAATTGGCTAGATCATCAACTCAGGCTCATGTGTTTCCAAACTTCATAGTTTTCTCAAGGACTTTACACTCCTCACCAGAAGATTTGAGTTTATTACTCTCAAGTTTATTCTAAGTTTATCTATTGTAATAGCTGTTTTCTTAGCAAAAAACACTTTGTATGCGGTTCTCGCAATTTCATTTTGATGAATGAAGTATTTGGTTGACAAAAAAAAATATACATATATATATAACTATTTTTGTGTATTTTGGAATAATTTCTTCAAAATATATATAAATTATGTAAATTCGAAAAAATCTACTGGATTCAGATTTTCCAAGATTCAAAGTATTTCATTAAAAATTTTACAGATTCACTTAATGCCATGGCAAAATCTTTGATACAACGATAGTGATCAACCTTTTAACCTCATATTGAGGAATTGAACCTCAGCTAATGATCAGATTCTTAGTTTATTATTTTAGTTATAGGTTCACGTAGTGTTCTGTGTCGTTAACGTATAACAATCTTGTTCCGCATTCACTCTAGTTGCATGAAGTATGCCTCCATCAACATCAACCAAAGCAATATACAGGGAAGAGGGGGGGGGGGGTACAGATTTGTTGTCCATTTACTAACTATTGTACAAGAGTTTGATACGGTTTTGTTTTCGTTCTCGTTTTATATTAAGCAAGTATAGTAATTTTTTTTTTATTCTTTTGGAGAAATTAAGTTGAATCATCTCAATGCAGCAGGTTGATGCAAAAACTCTCGGATAAGCAAAGATGGTCTCCAGTGATTAGTGAATCTTTGTGTTTTTTTAGTGAATCTTTGTTTTTTGCTTTGTTGTTTTTTTTTTTTTAAATACGAAAATAAGAAAGTTCGTTGGCCGACCTTTGAAATTTTCTAATAAGGAATCTTTCCCAAAATATTGCCAAATATTTTTTTTTTTCTTTTTGTAAGAAAATTGGAAAATTACAGCTTTTGCCACCAATATTTCTCATCTAAATTATTAAAATATAAAATAACCAACAAAAAAATTGGTAAAGAGCAAAGACACTTTGCCGCCTTTCTCTCTTTGCCTCTCGACGTGTAGTCTTGTTCCTCGTGAAGATCTCAATTTTGCTGACAACCTCACAATTTCTCGGAAAAAAAAACATCTTCCTGATTCGTTTTTTCTCCGATTTTCCTTCTTTCTATATCCGATTTCTTCGGGAGGCGAAGAGACGGGCAATTTCTCCAATGGCGCGCCGTCTTTTCGCCTGTTTCGGCGGCAAGAAATCTTCATCCTCCACGAGTAAATCTATCTCCGGCAACAATTCCGCCGCCGTCTCCGCAGACACTCTTTCCGGCGACGGACCCGTTCTCGTCCAGCTATTCTCGTCGCAGGGATGCAAGACGTCGCCGGCGGCGGAGATGCTGATGTCGCGGCTCGGCAGAGGCGATTTCGACGACCAGATCCGTGGAGAAGGTGGATCTGGATCTCCGGCGATGGTTCTGGTCTTTCACGTAGATTATTGGGACTACAAAGGGTGGAAAGATCCGTACGGATCGAGCCAATGGACGGTGAGGCAGAAGGCGTACGTGGAAGCGTTGAATCTGGACACCATGTTCACTCCGCAGCTTGTAGTCCAAGGCCGCTCTCAATTGATCGGAAACGAGGAAGAGACTCTGCTCAAATCCATCTCCGAAGCTCCTAGGTTTCCTTCTCCAGCGTTCCGGGTTAGTATTTTTTGACATCTAAGAAGTTGATTCTAATGATGATTCGATTATGCTTATAGAAAACTCATTAAAGATGATCTTGATGCGTAGGAACTAGGGTTATGATTGATTCAATTTCTTGTTTATGTGATTTCAACGTAATTGGTCATAAACTGAAACAAACTCTTGCTGTGTTCTTTCAATCTCTGGAGTTAATTACTTGTTAGGAGAAAATAAGAATCTGGTGAATGCTGAAAGCCTCTAAGTGGAATCTTGCTTATTATTAAGTTTCTAAAATTGGTTCTGCACATCATATCTTGTTTCTTCTAACATAGTAACATCTATTATAAATCTTGCTTTGAATGCCTAAATATTGAACAACATGTTCTTGGACCTCATGCTGTGTTAGAATAATGTGTCGGATGAATTACTATTTGGTCTCGGAGTCAAAGAGTTTCTTTTAGATACAGGGCAATGTTCCTGTCGCTGCTGGTTTTTCAAAGGGGTTTTGTTTCTGTAAGCCATTGAATACTGAGAGTGGTTAATATAGATGCTTGAAGATAGTTATAGGTATATCGTATATTACCGGGAAGGTAGGTTTATGAATGCAGGCAGTTTCTATTGCATAATAAGAATAAGCAAGATTTATTGAACAATTACGAGTCTGCTTTCGAATGGAATCTTGTCTCTTTTGGCAAACGGTAGTAGAAATCCTTAGGATAGTTAAGGGAAGGTTAGGTTTTATGAATGCAGGAAGCTTCCACAGGTTTAGAATAAACCAATTCTGGTGACAGCCAAGTTTTTGGGATCTTATTTAGACATCTATGAGAAATTTGGATGCAAGGACATGTTCTTTGTAGATGTGTGTGTGTGTTAACTTGTCTGGTTTAAAGTTTTCATATGTAATCAGTATTCGTGTTATAATCTGTCATACAATTGTCTCTTTTACCAGGCGACTTTCCAGAGACCAACCTCAGAGACACTGCAAGTATCACTCACGGGAGCCTTGAAGATGAAAGTAGACGGGAACGGAATAGACATAATGGTGGCGTTATATGAAACCGGGCTAGTGAACGACTGCGAGAGAGGAGAGAACGAAGGAAGGATGTTGTCGAATGACTACGTTGTAAGAAAGATGGAGAAGATGTGTACTGTGAAAGACGTAACAGCGAAGAAGTCAGTGTCGGGGACTGCTCATTTCACGCTCTGGGATGGATTCAACAGCAGCAAATGCGGAGTCGCTGTCTTTCTTCAGAACTCGTCTCTTCAGATTTTTGGTACGCAGAGTTTTAAGTTGCCTGATGAGATTTGAGTTATCCATAAAATCTTTAAAAAAACTAAACTCTAAAAACGCGTTTTTTTATTTCTTGTCGCTCATATTTTGGCTGTGAATCCATTCTCCACAGTGGAATTACTGTTTTGTACAGTTATATGTGTGACACTTTACGAGGTTTAGGTCTAATTTGTTTTAATTTCAACCTTTCTCATGCTTATTCGTTGGATGCTTTGAGTTGAGCTACTTTTCTTTTACAATGAATCATGCTCTGTTTCCGTATAGCGAAAGCCGGTCCTGAGGGATGTGGTATGAAACAAACAATCTTGCAGTTGTATTCTTTTCGACTTCAAACGACACCGTTCTGGTTTTATTTGACGAGGAAACGACGGTAACAGATAAAATTATTAAGAAAAAGAAAAAAATAAAAGCAAAGGTGTTAGTCAATCTCAAGCACCATCAATCTTTCTTCTTAGCGGATGAATATCTTCTCCGTGAAAACTTGGATGCAGAGACGCGGGAAATGACCATCACTGTCCCAGAAGCAAAACCCATATCCACCAAGAAGCTGAGCGAAACCAGAAAATGATGTCAAAGCTGTCATTTTTCCGAGCCAATTCCCTTCCATTCCCAGTCTTCTCTCGCTGCTCCGCTCGTCTCATCCATAAACCCAATCCCGCGCCTAAAACCCTTATCTTATGCGTCTTCTCCGGTAATCTCACATCCACCACTGTTCCCTACGGCCCTTCTCTTCTGAAAGGGAAGAAGCCTTTGCCAAATGACCTCAGATTGGCTTCAATCGATTCCCATCGAGGCAAATTTGAAGAATCAATCGACAAAGATGTTCTTCTGGACGAAGACGAATTCACTAGGATTTTCGAGATTTCCGCCGTTCGGGTCCCGGCGAAGGACTGCTTCGCGCTCGAGAATCGTCTCCGTGGTCATCTCCTTAATTGGCCTAGGATACGCAACATTGCTAGGGTTCCCGGAGACGAAGTCGACGAAGAAATGATGAAGCTGTTGGGCCGTGAGACTGAAGAAGATGAAGGAGATAGTGTTGTGGATTCGGTTAATCGGAGAATAAGAGGAAAAGCAGAAGGGGACGGAGAGAGACTGAGTTCAGTGTTGCACAGAGATCAACTCGCCAGGACATTTAATTCTACTGGGTATCTCAAATTCAGGAACTTGGCCAAAATTTCTCGGCCAAAGAGGAAGCGCAAGGCAGAGAAAGTAGAGGGTAAGGAAAAAGTAAAAGAAAGAGGAAACAGACGCAACGAATTCGCGGTGGTGGAAGTGGTGGAAGATCGAGGAGGAACGGAGGATTTTGAGGGGTTACTCGGAGAAGGTTATGGTAGTAGAGGAATATGGAGAGGTTCTACAAGATTGTTGCTTTTGGATGAGAAATATTCCGGTGAGGAAGTTCAAGACTTGCCCGAGACTATCAAGGTGATGAATCACTCCTATAGTTTGAAGTTTCTGTTGTGTTGTTCGTTCTCTGGTCTAGGAAATCTTAGAGAATGATATGGTTTCTGTTTGATAGGCTCTGTTCGCAGAAGTGAAAAAGACTGATGCAAGCTTAAGCTTCGAGCTAGTAAAGTGCAGACTGACTTTGTTCTATGACTATTGGCCTATGAATGAGGTAAATGATGAGACTTTGAAGCTTGACTTTAGCTTTTATTGAGGATCGAGTTGGGTTTTCTCAAAGTAAGTGTTTTTTGTAGGTATTGGAGTCTTTGCTACCAAAAGGTATGATTGTGCCTTCAGCATTTGAGATGGTGGGACATATTGCGCATCTGAACCTAAGAGACGAGCATCTACCCTACAAGAGGCTCATAGCTAAGGTGATTATTGGACATTGTTGCTTAAGTCTGAAACAAACTTTCCCCAGCTTCAGAATAAATTGAAATCTTGTGAGCTTTTTTTATTTTTTACTCTCTGAATCTTGTCAGGTAGTTCTGGATAAGAATCAGCCAAAGATACAAACCGTTGTAAATAAGATTGATCCTATTCACAATGACTTCAGAACAATGCAGCTAGAGGTTTTGGCCGGAAACCATTCCCTGGTGACGCTAGTTGTTGAAAATGGACTGCGCTTCCATGTTGATTTAGCTAGAGTGTATGTATCTTCTTTCTCATCAATGAATCTCTTAACTTTCATGATGATTTAGCTAAAGTGTATGTATCCTCTTTCTCATTGACGAATCTCTTAACAACATTTGGACTTAGCTCTTACTTACCTCAGTTTGGTGATCAAATCAGCTCCTGCGTGAAACTGTCTGATACCAAAAATATGTTTATCTTTCGAGTGATAACTGGAAAATATGTGTTTTCATAGTATCTCTTATTATGTAAGTACCGTTGTATTTGTTTCATAACTTGACATCTTTTTTGTATTTTTTCCCGTGTGCTAGATATTGGAATTCGAAACTTGGGACAGAGAGACAGAGGCTTCTGCTTGGGTTCGACCACAATGACGTTGTCTGTATGTTTGCTACTTAGATCTAACTTCGAGGGTACATAATGAAAGATATAGAACTCTCCACTTATGATTTAGGATCACTGATTTCCTGCTAAACTTGCTTGCCTGGTGCATTGTTCCTCCAATTTCTGGCAAAGATACCTAATTGCTGATTTTGAATCTTGCTGCTCTCTGTTGCTCAAGTAGCATATGTAGCGTGCGGATGGTTAATACATCAATTGTCTTATTGTTGTTTGTAGATATAAGTTGTTCTGTCTGCTAGATTTTGTCTATGTGTTGTTGTGTTTGGTTTCAAATTACTCTGTTGCTACTGACAGGTGATGTTTTCGCTGGAGTGGGTCCAATCGCCCTTGCTGCAGCAAGAATTGTAAAACGTGTATACGCCAATGACCTGAACCCTCATGCAGTAGAATACATGGAGCAAAATAGTGTTGTCAATAAGCTAGAGAAGAGAATCGAGGTAACACAAACTCCAAACACCTTGTTTCATACTTCCAAACCATTTTTGAACAACTCTAAATCTTCTATCTCTGTCTAGGTCTTTAATATGGACGGGAGAAGATTCATAAAGGCTATGTTTTCAAGTGATAAGGGTCAAAAAGTCACCCAAGTAGTCATGAATCTACCAAAAGATGCCGCTGAATCTCTAGGTTTGAATATGCTTTTACTAAAAACACTTCCTTTTTTAATCTGACTCACAATCTCCTCTTAATCGCTATTAATCCTTTACTCAAGCAGATGCATTTCGGGGAGTATACAACGACAGGCAAAGAGATGAAGACTTATCTTTCCCAACCATCCATGTCTACGGATTCTCAAAGGCTCCTGATCCGGAATTCGACTTCCATGAGGTTTAAAACGATGAAGAAAACCTATCAAACTCTACCATGCAATGTAACTTGAAACCAACGAATTAAAGATTTTTTTTGGTTTTTTAATTTGCAGCGGATAAGGATTGCTTTATCTGAGGTGGCCGTGGACGTCAAAATGCGGAAGGTACGGCTGGTGGCTCCTGGAAAATGGATGCTATGTGCTTCCTTCATACTTCCCAAGAGTGTAGCCTTCTCAAGAAGAAACATAAATTGTGTGTAGGTTAAAAAGAAAGTGGCAGAGTATAGGGGGCACATTTGCAAATACGAAACCTACATATTTGTACTTTCAGCCAGTAATACTTGCAGTGTCATTGTTGAAGAACAAGACAACTAACAAGTGAAAGGGACAATAGCTTTTGTTACATTATTTAATATTTAGAAAAATACTCTCTCGCAACACAGAGTCACAAACCCGTTTTAAAAGCTTTCTACTCTTAGACACAGAATATCTGGTGCTCAGATTTGTCTCTGCCTATTCAACGGTCCAGATCTCAAGCATTGTTTCTGATCCTGTCCCTCTACTCCAAAATCTTTACTTTCAAGTTTTAACTTGATATCCCCTATACTACATTTTGCCTTAGTCCTTATTGTCGCCCATAACTCTGTACAACTTGATCAAGAATGCTAATTGATGTTTATATCATGGGTTTATTTTGTTTTATTTTCTCTATTGAAACGAACCAACATTGATTGACCACTTCTTGCATATCCGGTTAAGTGGTTTGATTGGTGAGATTGAGACTTGGAGAAGAATCTTGAATCTAGATAGATACTACTGACTACGAGGGCTAAACTGTAATTTAGTTGAAAAGGGTCGACAACTGTACTAGCGAGGGAGAGAATCTCAGTTGGAGATTGAGATCTAAAGTAATGATAATAGAAATCTGGAAATTAAATTCGTAATAAAATAAATAAAAAAAGAAGACGAGAGAGAGAGAGAGAGAGAGAGAGAGAGAGAGGTGGTCCAAAAGGAGGTTTAAGGAAGGGTTTGCAAGTTTGTATGAAAATAGATAGATAAGGAAGACGATGTATAAAGCCAAAACTAACAGTTGCTTTCTTTTCCTTCCTTTTTTTTTATCTTTCTTTCTCATACTAATTCTCACTGCCCAAAAACTCTCTCATTTATTCACCTACTCTGCTTCCTTTTGTACTCTCTTGTCTACATTTACTTTACAGTATGCATATAGTATTATTCATCATATTGAATATACAATTTTGGAGATCTCTAAAACAAACAAACCTGTACTATGTTGATATATAAAAAATTATCTCTAGTAAGTTATTTTTCTGGATGCTTTCACAAACCACGAATCAACAACTTTCACTACATTACCGTGATCTAATTTACCGCATATTGGGAACAACATACTTCTCTGTAAACATACATACATACATTATATAGTAACTTGTTATCTTGGTTCGATTCTATCTAGATAGGAGAAAGAAAAAATCAGTTGGTAAAAGAAGAAGAAGAAGAGAAAGGATGCAATCATTCTTATAAAGGACACAATATGCTTCACGGATCCCAAGAATCTTTCCATGCCTGCCTAAACCCAGCAATATAAATCAAACATTCACACGCTTCGCCACTCTCGCACGTGTCAAAAAAACCCAAGTAGTAGCCGCCCAATGACCCTAAAATGGTCCCCCTTATGACACGTGTCAATTGGACCACACTCCGTAAACTTAACATGAAAGCACATGTGGGGTCCCCGTTCGTCCTTTGCCCTACCACAGTCGCTTGTCTTAGCCCACAATACACAATCTATGCGGTACCTATAGAGTAAATCATCTCTATACTCTATTTATTCTTGTTACAACCCAAAATAAAAATAAATAATTTATCATTCACAAAAAGGCACCTATGTTAAAATCAATTTTGCTTAGGATGCAAAATTTATCCAATAAAACACATATTTGGTCTTATTTGTTTCATCTTCGACTTATAAATTCATGTTATCTCTCAGTTTTTCATTATATTTAATTAGCATATATTTTTTCTTATAAAAAATTAGCAATCAAACTTTCGTTTTGCATTGAATAAATAGTGTCAGTTTAAATTAGTCCAGCTTAATAAGGGTCAGCCACTGATATGATAATTTGTTAGTTAAGCTAAACCAATGGTTAGTTCATATATAATTCTCTCTCTTTCTCTATCTATAGTTAACTGTTGATTCTTAAGTTGTTTATTATCTCGCCTTCCGTTCTATGCTTTTACCAAACAATGTAGATATGTTGGGTTGGTCATGCGGTTTGGATTTTTTTTTCCGAGTGCTATTAAATATCCATATATTAGTCTTCTCATTGTATCTAATTGTAACAAAACCATCCAAAGCGAAAAAAATGCATGACACTCGTGAAAACAATATAAGAAGTGGGGTAAATTTTTCTTCGTTATATTTTTGGGAAAATACTTCTGAAAAATAGTTATTCTTTCCGCGGAAAATTGCTTTTAGAATTTTACATGCGGTGAATAGATCATAGAATAGCCTTTTTAGATGCACAACATCAGATCTGATCTTTTGAACTTTTTTTAATTACAAATGAATAAAGAATCCCAACACACTGACACTATGATGTATAGTGATTTCAGAGGGTTTTTCTCAAGATTAATATTGAAAATAGCCCATATAACAGAATAATTTTAAAATAATTAAAAATTTCTAATAGTAGGTGTTGGGCTGAAGCAAAAATTAACATGGAGGCAGCTTTAAAATGTTTCCTTATATGATACAGCCATCATTTCTACTCTACTCTTTAGTCCAACCCTTCTCGTAATTCACGTCTCTTCCAATTCCTTCTGCTTTATTGATATCCTCATCTCATGTGACGCAGTAAATATCACAAAGTCAATTTTTTGAAATATCGAAAGCTAAGAAATTTAAAGTAGAGTTTTAAGTAATCTCAGATGAATAGAAACATATCTTTCCTCAATCTTTTCCAAGATCTTTCCGCGTAAAAAAATAGTATAAGTGTATAACGTTAAAAAGTTTTCGCATATAATACAGTTTTATTAGCAAAAGAAATCGTATGTCGCCATAGATTAATTATTACATGGAACGGTGGAAGCTCTTAAATATCATCTATTTTCATTGGGTTTATATATTTTCAAATAAATAAAAAAAGGAACAAAGACAACTACGACTGTAACTCGACTTGCTTATTTTAGATGATATGAGCTGAGTAAAATCACATTGTTTCAGAACTTTGCTCGCTACAATCGGCGAATGACCTCACGTCCCGACACCTGTCTATCTCTCCGCGGGTTCTATATTGTATACGTGTAGTGCACGCGCTGTTTGTTATTGAATCGTGGTTCGCACTCTCGGCTAGTCTGGCGCCAATCTCCGATTTAACCTAAGGAACAAGGAATATAGCTAAATAAATAAATAGATAAAAAGTTATAGAAGCACTGATAATTGTTTCTTTACATATTTCGCCCAAAAAAATTAAAATTAAAATAAGAGAATTTTGAATACCCTTGTTTTTGTAGTAAGCATTTGATTTCCTAAATTGATAGCTTTAACATTAGAAAAAAAAAATATTTTCACACATTAATTGTGTTCTTTGTATAATGGTGGAATGTGTGTATGTACGCGAATTAGGATCCATCGGACAACTTTGTTACCATTTGCTATCACTGTCGTCCTACTTTATATAGATAAATTAGATATGCACACTATTATCAATATATATTCTTTTTTTTTTTGGTCAGCATTATCATGATATTCTGTATCTGGTTATTTTGTTACAAATCTGAAATCTAAAACAAAAGGTAGGTAAATATTTAATACTGTAATAAAATACGGGGTATCCACGGAGGGAGGAAACATTCAATAGGTAGAAGCAAAAAGTCAAGATTAGTACTAATTACCATATATATATATATTCTGTTGAATTTCTTCCTCAATCCAATGCATGGATAGTCTCAATCAATCATACGTGCTACAACATAATTTTCAGTTACGAACTCTCCTAATACAGTTTTAAATGGTCCGTAGACTTAAACCCAAATATATAAAAAAAAAAAGAGATCGAGTTAGTGACTTGCATAAATCCATTTAGTAACAACTTATGCACATTTATACACATAAGTTAAAAATGCATGCAATGCAGTGCTAATGCCTAAGGGGATATATAAATATAGCTTAGTTTAAGAATTAAGAGATATTACTACTTATCTTGTTGAATTAAAAAAGCATAATTTAATTTAGCAAAGGGGGTAAAATGGTTAAAAAGGTAAGAAAGAAAAGAAAAGATACGTTTATCCTCATATAGTACCTGGAAATAACAGAAAAACAAAAACACAGACAAGTACATTGCCTCAGTATATATTGAACAAAAAAAAAGAAGATATATACACAACACAACACACATCAAAAGAGAGCAGAATACAGTCTTTTAACCTATTTGCCATTTTCCTCTTCATTTCTCTCTCTCTCTCTCTCTCTCTCTCTCTCTCTCTCTCTCTCTCTCTCTATTTCTCTAACAAGAAGCCCAGTGATCATCATCAATGGCGACTTCTCTCTTCTTCATACCAACAGACCAAAACAACCCAAACGAGCTTCAGAGAAACACTCACCATGTCAACGGCTCCGGCGAGATCCGGACAGAGCCACAACAGAAGACCCGTGGTCGTAAACCGGGATCGAAGACGGGTCAGCAAAACCAGAAGAAACCGAAGCGGAGAGGGATGGGCATGGCACAGCTCGAGCGAATCAGAATCGAAGGAGAGAAGAAGAAAACAGCCGTCGCCGGAGGAGGAGACACGTCAGCAATCACCACCCGTTTACCCGACCCGGGTGTTGTGTTACAAGGCTTTCCAAGCTACGGTGGACCCACCACGGCTTCTTCTTTCGGAAGCAGGCTCTATTGTGGCGGAGTCGGGTCGGGTCAGATCATGATCGAACCTTGGGGTTTTGTTGAGACCCCCAATATTCGCTATGACACTTGCTTCATCAAGGTTTGATTTTTATTTTCATTTTTTTGAATTATTTTTTTTTTATTCTGAGTGTATATGATGATATTGCAAACAAAAGATTTATGGTTTTGGCAATTTTGAGGGTTTTTAATTTTTGAGTTTTTGTTGTTGCAGAAGAAACGTTTGGATGGAGATGATCAAAATGTGGTTCGATCCAACGGTGGTGGGTTTTCGAAATACACAATGATTCCTCCTCCGATGAACGGCTACGATCATCTTCTTCCACCAGATCAGAGGAACCAAGGTTTCTTTTACGATCATAGACTCGCCAGATCAGCTTCTGCTTCCAGTAATCATCCGTATTTTCACGAGGCCACAAATCATACGGTACTTACTGATCAATCCATTGATGTATACATACATATATATGTAATTTTTTATTTTAATTAATGCAGTGTAATAGTTAATGGTGTTTACTAATTAATGGTGTGTCTAGGGATTACTGGATGAATTTGAGAGCGGAAACCCTAGAAACGGAACAGGAGATGTCAAGGAGTACGAGTTTTTTCCGAGAAAATATGATGAAACAGATTCAGTGGCTACATCAGTAGGTGATTGCAGTCCTAATATATCCACCATCGATTTGTCCTTGAAGCTTTAAATGTTCTTAAAAGTTTTGAAACATCTCAGAGATTTTTCTCCTCTATCTCTCTCTTTCTTTATAAACTTTAAACAAAAAGCCTGGTTTAATTTTGCTTCTCTTCTTTTCTTTGTTATAATTAAGTACAAGATGAAAGTACCAAACAGAAAGGAAAACAAAAACCCTTTTTTGGTGTATGCATTTGAGGTCTGAATCGAAAGAACGATTCAGCTTTTGGATTACCCTTTTGGTTGTTTATTACGAGATTCTAACCTAAACACTCAGACATATGTTCTGTTCGCTTCCTTAATTGTATCATGAAACCTCTCTCTCTCTCTCTCTCTCTCTCTCTCTCTCTCACTCTCTTTCTCTCTCTCTCTCTCTCTCTCTCTCCCTCTCTCTCTCTCTCTCTCTCTCTCTCTCTCTCTCTCTCTCTCTCCCTCTCTAAAGGTGTGTCAGATCTGGGGCTTGGATCCATTTGTGTTTCCTTAGTTAGGCAATGATCCTGTCATGATTCATGTTATCACCTAATTCTCGGTTCAAGAAATGGTGCCTATGATCAATCTTGTTAATTTGATGTGAGACAAGTATAAAATTTATCAAATGGATATTGATTGTAGCTTTTTCCAATGATATTGCATAAAATATATAGGCGTACATCTTTGTTTTTGGGTACGAACAATTGTTACGATATTGCTCAGACTTTATATTTTAAACAAATATAGTTAGCTTTTCAGAAATTCCAAACATATTTTTGATTTAATTTACTTTACTACGCTGATATGATTTTGCTTTGTTCATCTATTGAAATTATAGAAAACATGAAATCTTATCAGTTTAGTTCTCTTATCTTGGGTTTTATTGATTATTTTGATGTACAGTTTCAGCCTCTCTTTTTTTTTTTTGACCATATTTTTTTATAAAAGCGAAAAAAGAAAAACAAAAAAATCATGTAATTTTTATAAAAATTCTTAATATGATGTTTAGAAATGTTCTAAACAAATATTTTTCATGAACACATTGACGTCATATATGTGATAAACACATTATCTAGGTTATTTTTGTCTCGCTCAAAAACCAATATGAGACAACCCGATTATAAAAACGAGATACTGTATTACGTCTGTGTGTTATTGGTTTGGTTTATTTCATTTTGGTTCAATACTGATATCGAGGTTTTGACATATTTTTAGAAGTTAGAACACTTATCTTTTTCTGATTCCAAAATAAATAAATAAAATATGCTTATGTTTTTCTGCGCCTCGACATCAAATCTAATATAGTACGTACATCTTTCTTAGTAGTTTGAATGTTTTTTGAACAGCTATCTTAGTGATTTCTTAGTAGTTTGAATGTTTTCTTTTTATCTGCATAAACTGCATAAACAGTAACAGTAGCAAAACTAAAGAAGTCTAAATACGTATATCAAACCTGAAACATGTTTGACAACAACAGTCTAGTGGTTGTTACTCAAAATTTTAACGTTCCTATATCAAAATGTTAGGGAAATCGACTCTCAAACAAACTTTTGTGCATACTATAAATACAAAAGTTATCAGCAGCTTCAGCATACTTAGTGAAATCGTTTGTTATGATTTTGTATATAACTGAAAAAGTCACCATTATTGTTGATTAGAGTGTTGTAAGAAAAGTTATAATGCTATATAATTAACTTGAATTATCCATTACAATCGTATGTAATATGGTAAAATTACCATTTGTAATATGGTAGAACCAGAAATTTATAACAGGTTAAAAAAACAAACAAGATCGACAGCAGTTGCTCAGCAATCTATGGAGTCAAATGTAAGGAAGGATTATTTTATACCATGGGATGAAATATGGGCCTTCAATAAAACATCACGGCCCACTATAAATACGGCCCACTATAAAATAAACTGATAAGATAAACAGTTTCCTTTTTGAATAATCACTGAGCTGTGCTCGGCACGTTCTCGTATTTTTCAAACCTCTTCAAAATTCAATGTACGTATATGTCCATTATCCAACAATTAGCAATAAATAACACATTAAAATTAAATATAAGTAAACGTTTATTAAAAAAAAAAAAAAGAGAGAATTAGCCAAACACGGCTTTCTTCTTCTTCTCGATCGGAAAAATCAAAGTTTCTAAAATTTGTTGGAAGCAAGAAGAAGAATCATGAATCCAGATTTCGATCATCCTCATCTCCCAAACATCAAAATCCACCACCCTTCATCACCTCGCCACTCCCACCACCACTCCTCCTCCACTCCTTCCGCCGCTACTCCAACCCCAACCGCCGGTGCTCGTCGTAAGATCGGAGTCGCCGTTGACCTCTCCGAAGAAAGCGCCTTCGCTGTTCGCTGGGCCGTCGATCACTACATCCGTCCCGGAGACGCCGTCGTCATTCTCCACGTCTCTCCCACCTCCGTTCTCTTCGGTGCCGATTGGGGTCCTCTCCCTCTCCAAACTCAGCCTCCTTCCGTCGTCGATCCCGTCGCTCCGGATCAGAAACCGCAGCCTAGCCAGGAGGATTTCGATGCTTTCACATCCTCCAAGGTAGCGGATCTCGCGAAGCCATTGAAGGAAGCTGGGTTCCCTCACAAGATCCACATAGTCAAGGATCACGATATGAGAGAGAGGCTCTGTCTCGAGACTGAACGACTCAATCTCAGCGCCGTGATCATGGGAAGCCGAGGATTCGGCGCTGAGAAGAGGGGAAGTGACGGCAAGCTTGGCTCTGTTAGTGATTACTGCGTTCACCACTGCGTTTGTCCCGTCGTTGTTGTTAGATTTCCTGATGATCGTGACGGTCCTGCTCCTGGAAATGGTGGAGGTACTCGGGGAGCTATTGTCACCGTCAAATCAGGTAGAGACGAGGATGATGATGATGAAGAACATGACCATAAGGCTGCTGCTCCTTCCGCTCATCATGAACATATCAAAGGTCAGGATCAATGATTTCTTAATCTCTTGCCGTTGACTTGCTGTATAATGCTGATGGTGGTCGCTTAAGCCAGGTTATAGTTTCTAATTAGGTATTTGATTCCGAGATATTGCCGTAGATGGGTACTTGAAAACTTTGATCTTTCTGGCGATTTATATGGTCCAAGCTTCATTTCCACAAATTAAGTGTATAGTGATGTTAAACTCTGTAAGGTTCGAGTATTGATTGCTGCTGTTAATGTTCCATTCTGTTTCAGCTTTTAAGAGTTGTTTTACGAATGAATCTGTTATGTTCTGCTTTAGGGTCGAAAAGTAGCAATGATATTTTATTCATTGATTCCTTCTCTTCTCGATTCCATTTTTTCTCATCTGTTGATACTTTTTCTCTGTTGCTTTGTTGATGCTTTGTTGAGTGTATCCTGTTTTCTTAGCCTTTTTGATCAATATCTAGAGGTTTAGGCAGAATTCCATTGCAAATGGTTCAAATGAGCTTCACCATTTTCCTCACTTCGTGATTTTCTGTACTGTTTCTTTTCTAGGCTCTTTTTGCTAAAACAGATTGTGTTTCCATTCGAATAATCTTGAACATCTTTAGTCCAGAAGATAATTGCTTTTGGACCACCAAGAATTTTTTTTTTGGGGATGCTCTCTTGACTGTGAGAAAAGTATCCCAATATCTTGGCTTAAAAAAAGAAGAAGAAAGGAATCTTCTGAGCTCCCCAGCTTTACTCCTTCGTAAATTAGTGAAACTTGCATCGTTTGGAATGTTGTACAATTTGTTAGCTGTAATTTGACATGTTGATCAGTTTCTTCTTCTCTTGGTTACTGAAATCAGAGTCTTGATGAAACTTGTCCAGGGGAAAAATAGAGTTATGTAGAGTACAGAAACACTTCTGTTTGCATAAATCTAGTTGTCAGAGTGATGCAAAATAGCTATGAGATTATCGAAGCTTAGGGTTTAAAAAGAGAATGTAGATGGTCGTTACTAGATTGATTCAATAATTAACAGTTGATCCTCTTCCTTTTACAGATGAGTAATGTGCCTTAGTATCTCATTGGATTCACCCTCTTCACAGCCAGGTAAATATAAAACTACCTTGTCAACTTTGAAACCACTATCTGAAGGAGTGGTCTCTATTGATCATTCTTTTTTGTTTCTCTTTTTATTTTGGGGAATTACTAGGTACCACCGCGGATTTGGAAAACAATGGGTTTTAGTGGATTTGTGCAGAGGAGTGTGTTTGTGTGTGTTTTTGTGCCATCTTTTGCAATCATTAAGTCTCTGGGATCTCCTCTGGATTATTCTCAGTCCTCTTTTCATAATTCTCCCTGTATGATTTTCGCATTAAAACAAGTATGCAGTATGAACACTTGATTGACCAAAAATGAAAAGAAAAAAGTATGAACGCTTAAACCCTTTTGGGATTATGATCTTCATCCTCAATCTGATTTTATTATAAATTTTCGAAGCTGGTTTGCTCTTTATCATTCTTTTAAAACATGACCAAGTCATTGATACTGATCTGCTTTTGTCCTGGAGGAAAACTAGTTTGGGGCTAGTACCTTGTGTCATAATTCTTTTTTAATGATGTCGTGTGAATATAAGTCACGTTATGGTTGAATGAACGTTAGGTTGTGCTTTATTAATGTAGTTTAATCTTATTGTCAAACTCAACGCATGGGATAAAGACGGGAACTATGGAACTATGGACTAAAGTTTGATGTCTATTAGGTTTGGGTTTGACTTTTGGAACTATGGACTAAAGTTTGATGTCTTTGACGGTAGTCATGCTTTGATTGTGAAAGCCACCGAATTTCCTAACAAATATTATGTACTTACTGATATCGATTTATAATGCTTAGATTTTGTAGGAAAGGAAGTACTATAAAATTAATACAAACAAACCTAAGAATCAGTATAGACAAAGTTGTAATATTTTTTTTCTTAATTATGATGTAAAATTACATTAATATACCATTTTTTTAGCTCGGAAGGGAAAAATCGGCTAGATCGTAATCTTTTGACAAAAGATTAAATGCGATTATGAGAACCACACAAAATAATTTGATAGATCCACCGGTCAAACGCCAACCCCCACATACCACTCTCACTAACCCGTAGAACTTGAATTTCTTTCAGAAAATGTAAACGGTTTTTAGTTGGATCTGAATATCTTTTAATATGCTATAACCAAAGCACAAAAACCAATAGAATATGTTATTAAATTAAATTCCAAAGCACTCTATACAGTAAACAAAGATGAGATCATGTGAATCAAGGAATTTGGTGAGATAAGCTTAACGGGTAAACAAGGGGGATGGCATTATTTTTATGGACCATTAATAACAAGACTCGACAGATATGACAGGTTCAATGTTCTTGGCGAATGAATGAAACTTTCAGGACCCATACAAAATTATAAAAATCTTGCTATAATTTATTTTCTGTAGTGCCCACTGTTTTATTATTGAGTGGTCTTTATTACAAATCAAACCACAATCATATGTATATTTTTATGTATAGCAATGTATCCATCTGTCACCAATCTCCCCCATTCCTTTGATCCATAGAACCATATAATATAAACTCATTTAAGAATATCAATGATGCAATTCGGATCTAATAAGCATTTAATTACATATGAAGCCAAACTTAACCACTTAAGAGAGAAAAAAAATCAGCAGAATAATGATATTAAAAGGTTAAATACAACGTTTAAAATTGATTTTTGTACGACATAGGGATCAAAGAAATACTAACTCAAGACTAAAACAAGTATGGTTAGAAATGGACGGTGGTGATTTATCAAATGGAAAGACAAAATCAACGGTTGAGATCTCTCCTCATTTTGGCGATCGCAAAAATCAGAGAAGACGACGAAGGAGATGAATCAACGGCGGCGTTCGATGTGATCCCTCCTTCTAGTCTGGTGATAGCCGTTGATTTAAACGCGAGTTCGTCTCTTGACGGTCGCTTCAACGGCCGAGAATAATCTGACTCTTGAGCTGAATGGTATCCGATCTCGTCCTGCATTTTAAAAAAAAAAAAAAATCATAATTAAAACCAAAATTTTCCAGAAAAAAAATTCGAAATTGATTTTGGATTTTGATAAAATGGAAGGAGAAAGGATAGATTCGTACATCATAGCAGTCCCTTGTCCTCTTCGCCGCCAGATCTCCACTAGAAGATGAAGAACTCATCGCCGGAGGCGGTTGCGCCGCCGCAGCCAACGGTACCACTTGATTCTCCGCTTCCTCATCGTCAACATCATCTTCATCTTCATCTTCATCTTCATCACTGTATTCCTCATCCTCATCTTCATCCTCATCGTCATCGTAAGATTCCGCGCCGTCACCGTCGTATTCTCTGAGCCGATCCTCTTCGTGATCGAAACCGCTGATCTCCTGACCTCGATTCTCCATCAAAATCCGGTCGGTGCTCACACCGCCGCCTCCACCGTCTCCGGCGGCGGCGGTTTTAAGAGCGACGCAGGAATCGCAGACGGAGAAGGTTGGGCCGAGGCGAAGCCCAGAGGCTTTCCAAGGCGTAGGTGATTGGCAGGCGCTGCAGAGAAGACATCGCGTGTGCTTAGCGACAAGGAAATTAGCGCCGTGAACTTTACCGTCGCAGTCCCAGCATAGACTCGCCTGATCTGATTCGCAATACATTCTTGCAACACCGTCGCATAAATCACACTTCTTCCCCATTCAAAAGTTTTCTCTCTAGTTTCTGGGTTCGGTGTTGAGCTTTCTCTCTCTCGGGAAATAAGGGAAGCAGAGACGAGAAGAAGAGAGTGCAAGTTGCAGGGGGATAATTTTCGTGGCGTGTTTTCTGTGATTCAATTCTTTGAGGCTACTTTCGTCTTTTTCTGGGTCGAGCAAAAAATCTATTTCTCCTTCTTTGGTTCTACAATGGCTTTTTTATATAGGACCATCCATCCTTTTTTATTATGTGGTTAGGAACCATCTTCATTTCAATTAACTATACTACTTTCTTTAAAGTATCTGAATTGATTAGAGATTGAGTAATCTTTTTACTCACAGATTGGTTCAACCTCAACCTTTATTCCAAGTCTTTGTTTTGATAATTATCAGTTCTACATCTGCAATTATTTAGCGTATAATGTTTTTTAATTGTTTGAGCTTTATCCTGGAACTTTTTCTTATACTGTAAGAATGTTTTATTAGTTTTTTTTAAATCTCTATATGTTATTAACAAAACAATTTTACAATTTGTTCGTTTCATAATCGTTGATGTTTATGGTAAACACTAAAATATGTGCAGAACTTCTCAATTATGACATAACTCGTGTATCATCTTCAGAACTGATCATCTCTGTTCGATGGATGAGAGACAGTTCTGCTCTTGACATTTCAGTCACCAACTTAGGATTGAACGACTTGGTATCCAAACTCGAGAGAAGCTTTTCTACAAATATGTTCTCAATTTCAAATAAAAATGAGAAATCGGAAAATTAACATTTCAGAAAAAGATAAATATAAAAAATTCATCTACTTACTTCATTTTCTTTGAGGAAGTTTTTTTTTTTTTTTCGGACTTTGAGGAAGTTATACACTTATGATTTGAGTCGGAAGGACTTTCGAAAAGCACCACATGGTGTCTTATGCAACTTGAACCGCGTTTTTAATGGTGCAAATTTATCTGCTTCTAGTACCTAAAGAAGTACTAAATTTTTTACATGAACTAGTATTGAGAATATGGACAATTTCATTTTGATAACTCTAATAACAGTAATAAAATCGTAGTTACATAATTGTTATTGTTGATTTTTGTGATATAATTTACTGGTTAATGACCGTGTGTTTAAACTATGTTTAGTATGTGCTTTGCTTGTCTTTAATTTGGATCATAACAGCTTATGTAAGGTAACCAGTTTATAGTGGTTAAGTGATTGAAAGATCAATTCTGAAATTAGAGAATAAGGGTGTTCTGATCATAGTTGATTAGTGTTCATATTTTATTAGACGACTAGCGTACTCAATTTTGTATCAACTCTAGAGATTATAGTTAGAGTCTGATATTAATATGTGCGGTAAGTATAATTTGAAAACCATTTAATGTGTATGGCCCCAAACGCCGTTTTACGTGGCGACAAACTCATGGTTGAGTTCAAGATATTTTGTGGGATGAGGTGGCGAGATCTCAGCCTTGGGAGAAGGAGACCGAGATTCTGCTCCGTCCTACGTGGACGAATCAGGTTCTCAATGGGCTTCGGAGCCACGTGAGCCCACCTGGGATTTGTCTGGACCTCATTACAAGCTAACGGGCCCCACTCTCTATCTTCTCTTTCTCAATTATCTTTTCTTTTATAACCACTTGTTTGATTTTTTACTTCTCCCATACTTCTCTTCACAAATAGTGATCCAAAACATTTGTGTTTCTAAGCTTTAGGGATATCATCATCCATCTACTGATATACGATAAGATAATAATGAATTTTAAAATACAAAAAAATGTATCGGTATGGGGGAGAGGAAAAAATATGATTATTTACTTGGACCATAATTATTTAGTGTATTAATATTTAAAAAATGATTATTTAATTTGTTTTGTGTGTGGCTCTGGCGAACCAACCCAATTGGAAAGAATAATGTGGCATGCTTCCATATGGGGAAATCCTACGTGGCGAACAACGGTGGTGTCTCAAGGATCAAAATGAAGATGAGATGTCATCATTAGAGCCACAGAAGCACAAAATTTGTGGTGAGTGGTGGTTTGCTTCTTCATTGTAGTTTCCTCTCTTTTTTTTTTTTCTTGTGGATAAGAATTATTTTTGAAGAACTTTCAGAATGTATAAAAACTATATAAATGAATTGTCAGAATAGTTAAATACATCCCCCCTTCTGAGTTCTCTCATCTTATGAAAGATGTGGCCTGTATGGGGGTTAAGGGTATGCATTGCTGACCCAGCTATTTATACAAAGAATTTTAACACTGATACAAAGCTATTACAAAGATAAAAGTAAGTTGAGTTTAATTTCTGTTTTATTATTGTTATTTTGATATTATCATCTACTAAAATCTTTACAACTAAAATTAAAAATGATCGATTGTTTCTTTTTTAGTTTTGATTCCGGCTGGAATGTATATTAAATTGATTTTTGTAGGTTGATACGAATTGATCGATCTAATAGTCTAATTATCTAAATTCATCCCATTAAAATTGTGGACTTGAACTCCCATATATATAGTACGTACAGTTCATTTGGTTAAGCGTATACTATATTACTAGAGCATCTATTTGGATGAAGAATTTTATGTATCAAAATGCTTTAACGAACAAATGAAAATATATACTAGATATATATATTGACATTCGATCAAACCCATTAATAAATCCACGAATGCTCCATGTAGAAAAGCCATACGTTTAAAACCCCTAAGACAACACGTCTATGAGAAAAAGACGTGAGAGACGATGCATAAGTTAAGGCCTAAGAATCTAACATGGGCCTCTTTTGTCCACGTTTTTCTCTTTCTTTTCCTCTTTGCATTCACGTTTTTTGGTATCTCTTACATTCTCCACGTTCAAGTGTAACCATTAGAGAGATCTCTCACTAAAGACAAGAATCATCTTATATCTGTTACGTTTTCATGTGCCAAAATTTAGGTCTGGAGTTTCTATGGTAAATATCAGTTTGGGCATCTGGTCACTAGACGTATGGTCGAGATTCTTAGAAAACTTCTTACTTGCCAAAAAAGTTTCCACTCCAAAAATAGTCGGAAGTTACAATAGACAGGGCACCGAAAATCAATAGGAAAAGTTGGATCATGGCTTCAACTACTATTGTTGCAAACATATTAATCTTTTTTTTGCCTCCAGCTTCCTAGTTGAATAATTGTCATGGATAAATCCGACGACTCAATAACAATGCAGAACTAAGCTTCTCCAAAGGAATTTATAAACATCTCTCGAATTGAGTATATTATAGAAAGAGTTAGGTTTTTGAATGCTAGTAGCCAAAAATGGATTAGTATGTTGTGTATTTAGACCGTTCTATTTTGTTGAAGGACAATGATTTGTAACTATTTAAAACTTTTTTATTATCAAATCTATCCAACGTATGTGAACTATTTTCTTTTTTCTTTTGCTATCCAGATTTCAGAGTGATATAAACAAACATCATCGAATCTATAGGTAATTCAACTAATGTTCTAGAAACGAAGTTCTCGTTCGATAGAAGTCCATCTCGATTTGGGCCTTCTTCGGGCCGTATTTCGGCCGTGTTTGGGCCCTGACATAATTAGATGCAGCGCGACCACTTCTCTAAGTTGAGCAGCCTTTGCGTTGACTGAGCCATTTCCATGTCACAAGGCCACCTGTAATTACTCTGAATCTCTGATTGCGATCGAGCGACTGCCTCTTCCACTGACTTGACAAAACAATTTGTTGAATCTGGAAAATAAGTTTCTTGTACAGTAGTTTTTGTTGAATATATATACTCAATTGTTGATTTAGTTTTAGACTCTTTTAGTAGTTTAAGAAGAGATGCGATTGCAAAGATTGCTTACTTTTTCCTTTTGTATGATTTCGCAATAGTACTGACTAGTGACTACTGACCCAAGTTCCGGGTTTGCTACCATATGTTCTCGAAGTTGATTGGCATATTTGTAGTAGCTTATTTTTCATTTATAAAGGATTTTTAATGGTTTTTTTTCTTTAAAAAGACACCTTTTTAGAGTTTTTCTTTCTTTTTAATGAAACGAAAAAAAAGTTTGCATTATGTAATGGGTCACTGTATGTAATAATTTTCATTATTACAAATACAACCTCAATGCAATGATTTTATTTTTGATAATTTTTTTGTAATATAGATTACGAATGTAATTATGTAAATACTAAAAACATTCATTAATTAGCATCTATCTACCCACAAGTTCCTCACTAAATTCTATGATCATCACTGAAAACGATCAATAAACATAATGCAAGGGTACACTTTAGTTGAATGATTCGTTGTAATGTATATATCAAACTATCAATAAATATCTAATTTTGACCCCTCAATAGGTCCCTTATATGGGACTAAGTCAAGGAAGATTGGCTACATCTTATTTATAGTTTTTGTCCTTGCTAGGCTTAGACACTCTTGTAATCTGAGAAATTTTTAACATTGGCCCTCTAAATTTATTTGGTGGATCATATTTTGTCTCTGTAATCAAACAAAAATCCCTAGTTACTTTTTTTTTGGGCATACTGAAGAAATTTTTTTATTATTGAATTTCAACAATCAATAGCCACATTCAAGAATTTTTTTTTATTATTGAATTTCAACAATCAATAGCCACATTCAAGAATTTCAAGCTGCATTGAATTTCTGTTGACTTGTCGCTTATGCCAAGTAGATTACGAAATTGGTCAAAAAAATTATGTATGTGATATTTTATATTTATGATATGCATTATCATGATTCACTTTCTTGGGTAAAGAAGAAAGAGAAGGATTTGCTCTTTCGATCAAAATACTTTTTAAAAAAAGAGAAATGCTTCAGTCAATGGAAAAGATTCCTTCTCTGTTTTGGGTATCTCTGTTCTTGTTATCATCATCTTTCTCTGTTTCTTTGGATTATAGTGTCATCACTCCAAGAGAATCTCTTAAGGATGGAGACACTCTTAGTTCTTCAGATAATGTCTTCCAATTAGGATTTTTCAGTTTTGACCAAGAAGAACAGCCTCAACATCGGTTTCTTGGCTTGTGGTACAAGCAACCATTTGCAGTCGTTTGGGTAGCCAACCGAAACAATCCTCTCTATGGCACTTCTGGATTCTTGAACTTGAGTTCTCGTGGCGATCTTAAGCTATTCGACGGGGAGCACAGAGCGTTGTGGTCATCATCATCATCAAAAGCTTCTAAAACCGCAAAAAATCCCTACTTGAAGATCAATTGTACAGGGAATCTTCTCTTAAGTGATGAAGATGAAGTTTTGTCGTGGCAGAGTTTTGATGATCCCATGAATACAATTCTGGCTGGTATGAAGCTTGGAAAGAATTTCAAGACACAAAAAGAATGGTCTCTAACGTCTTGGAAAACCATGAAAGATCCATCCACAGGTGAATTCACTTTGTCTCTAGATACTCGAGGTTTTCCACAGTTGATCTTGAAGAAGAAAGGAGATCCGAGCTATTCCTATCGGTTAGGGTCTTGGAACGGCTTATCCTTCACCGGAGCTCCAGCTATGGGACGAGAGAACAGCTTGTTCGACTACAAATTCACGTCGAGTGAGCAAGAAGTAAACTACTCGTGGACTCCTCGACGCCAACTTGTCTCAAGATTGGTTTTAAACAACACAGGGAAACTCCAGAGGTTTATCCAGTCGAAGCAACACCAGTGGATCTTAGCAAACACAGCACCCGAAGATGAGTGTGACTACTACTCCATATGTGGAGCTTATGCAGTTTGTGGGATCAATAGCAAAAACACAGCTTCTTGTTCATGTTTACAAGGATTCAAGCCAAAATCAGGTCGACAATGGAATATCTCGAGAGGAGCAGACGGGTGTGTCCATGAGACTCCAACAAATTGCGGAAAGAAAGATATATTTGTGAGGTTTCCAGGTATGAAGTTACCAGATACTTCATGGTCTTGGTATGATTCAAGAAATAAGATGACACTTGAGGATTGTAGGATCAAGTGTTCAAGTAACTGCTCCTGCACGGCTTACGCGAATACTGATATTCGTGAAGGAGGGAAAGGTTGTTTGCTTTGGTTTGGTGACTTAGTTGATATGAGAGAGTATTCAAGCTTTGGACAAGATGTTTATATAAGAATGGGTTTTGCCAAAAAAGAGTTTAAAGGAAGAGAAAAGGTGGGAATGGTCGTTGGATCAGTGATGAGCATCGCAGTTGTTTTGGTTGCAGTGTTTGCCTGCTGCAGGAAGAGAATTTTGAAGAGATATCGTGGTGAGTTTTTTGAATAATCAGTTATATTTTGTAACTATGAGATCTTGCTCTCAAATATTTTTATATTGAAATTTTGGTGGTTGTTATTTTTTCAGGAGAAAATTGGAGAAAAGGGATTGAGGAAGAGGAGTTGGACTTGCCTATTCTTGACATTAAAATGATTTCCATAGCCACTGATGATTTCTCACACGTAAACTTTCTAGGACGAGGAGGGTTTGGACCAGTTTACAAGGTTGTATTCATCACAGTTTGCTTTTATATTCTTGATTAGAGTGTTAAGTTGTGACCAGTTTCTTTGCAAAGCAATGCAGGGTAGGTTGGAGGATGGACAAGAGATCGCGGTGAAGACGCTATCTGCGTGCTCAGGACAAGGCGTGGAAGAATTCAAGAACGAAGTGAAACTAATAGCGAAACTTCAACATCGTAACCTCGTGAGGCTTTTAGGATGTTGCATTCAGTGTGAAGAACGTATGTTAATCTATGAGTATATGCCAAACAAAAGCTTAGACTTCTTTATCTTCGGTATGTTCTTATTACTTTCAAAACTCAGTCTCATCATCTTGTTGTAGCTTTTTAAGATAATCTCATCATCTTTTTGTAGCTTTTTATGGTAATCTCATCATATTGCATAACTTTTAAAATTACTATGTAAATAAAGATGAAAGGAGAAGTAAAGAACTGGATTGGGAGAAGAGAATGAACATTATCAATGGAATTGCTCGAGGGCTTCTTTATCTTCATCAAGATTCGAGACTGAGGATCATACATAGAGATCTCAAGGCTGGAAATGTTTTACTAGACGCTGATATGAACCCTAAGATCTCTGATTTTGGATTAGCTAAATCTTTTGGTGGAGATCAGAGTGAATCAAGCACAAAAAGAGTCGTGGGTACTTAGTAAGGACATTCAATCACCCTCTCCCTCTCTCCATATATAAATTGGCGTATTGATTATAGAAATTATAATGCTCTGCTTTGCCATTAACTACTTGCAGTGGTTATATGCCTCCGGAGTATGCAATTGATGGACATTTCTCGGTGAAATCCGATGTGTTCAGCTTCGGTGTATTAGTACTTGAGATCATAACTGGCAAGACGAATCGCGGGTTTCATCATGCAGATCATGATCTTAACCTTCTTGGACACGTAAGTTATCCACTTTATGCTCCTTTAGATCATTTTTCTTAAATCAAATCTTCATTTTTGGATTGGAAACATTACCTATACAGGGTAAACTTGAACTCTTATACTACAAGAAGTTCATAGAATCTCCATCTCTCAAAATCAGTTAGCTCTAAGTGAATATATAGTAAATTAGGTTTATAAAAAATTCTATGTGGGATTCCTTATTTTGTAAAAGACCGTAATAGTTGTCTCAATTTTTTGCTGGTCTTTATTAGGTTTGGAAGCTGTGGATTGAAGACAGAGAAATAGAAGTCCCTGAGGAAAATTTATTAAAAGAGACATGTAATGTCTCAGAGATTCTAAGATGCATCCATGTGGCTTTGCTTTGTGTACAACAGAAACCAGAAGACAGACCAAACATGGCTTCTGTTGTCTTGATGTTTGGGAGTGATGGTTCTCTCCCACACCCGAAACAGCCCGGTTTTTTCACCAACCGGAACGTTCCAGATGTTTCTTCATCTCTAAGCCTACGTTCGGTAAACGAAGTTTCCATTACAATGTTGCAAGGTCGGTAAAAAAATATAGATTATGTGCAAACTATATATGGTTGGTAATGTAATGTGTCACCAAAGAAGAAATAATCAACATATACAATGTTACATATTAATATAGAATATAGAAAGATCGATTATAAGGTTTATCTGGGCTCTATTACACTCATGGTTTGAAAATTGTTGGAAGGAATCTCAATATTAATCGATACAGTGTCAGAAAACAAGAGATTTCGTTCGTTGTAAAACCCAGGCTCCTTCGGATCAAGAAGCAACGTTTCACTACTCAGCATCAGAACCACTACAGACATGTTTGGTCTGTCTTTGGGATCTTGTTGTACACATAACAGACCTATGTGTATCGCTCTTAACACTTCAGAAATATCCGTGCATGACTCCTTGAAAGCTTCATCGATTAGCTCACATGCCTTATCTTCTCTGTATAGCCTCCAAGCCTGAAGAATTGATTATATGTTATAAAGCTAAGATTACAAGACTTATCTAATTTCCATTACTGCTGCTAATGTACTTACGTGTCCAAGAAGGTTAAGCTTGTGTTCTTGATTGCAAAATCCGCGGTTTCTTCTTCCTGACACTATCTCTAATACTAAAACGCCAAAGCTAAATACATCGGATTTTAATGAGAAATACCCGTCGATTTGATACTCTGGAGACATATATCCACTGCATAACGATAGAGAAAAATGTTTTTTTAAAAAAAAATTGTTAGCTTGCTTTGGATTGAAGTCAAGAAAGATTGATAATCTTACTAAGTTCCAACAACTCTGGTTGTGTTTGCTTCAGTTTCATCTCCTCCCAAAGTTCTAGCCAACCCAAAATCCGAGATTTTCGGGTTCATATCAGAATCAAGCAAAACATTGCTTGCTTTGAGATCGCGATGGATGATTCGAAGCCTTGAATCTTGATGGAGATACATCAGTCCACGAGCAATCCCTTTGATTATTTCCATCCTTTTAGGCCAATCAAGTTCTCTGCGCCGTTCTTTGTCGAAAATGAAAGAATCCAAGCTTGTGTTCCTTTGATACTCGTAGATAAGCATTCTTTCATCTTTCTCCACACAATACCCTAGAATCTTCACAAGATTACGATGCTGCAGCTTTGCAATTAGCTTGATCTCGTTCTTGAATTCTTCTATCCCTTGTCTCGACGTTCTTGATAACCTCTTTACAGCAATTTCTTGTCCACAAGTCAATGTTCCCTGGAAAAATAAATCAAAACGTCTTACCATTGGAATATGACAGTTGGACCAGATGCTGTGGTTATTACCTTATAGACCGGTCCAAAACCACCCTGTCCAAGTTTATTCCCATCAGAGAATCCATCCGTAGCTTCTGAGACCGCGTCAAGATCAAGAAACGGTAATTCAAGATCTTCGTCCTCTTGTTTCCTGCTTGAAACACGGTCTGTATTGCGCTGCGCAATTTCTGAATATATTAAAGGTTTTAATTAACTATTAAGCACAATAGAAAAACAAGATACTTCGTTTCTGAGAGCTTCAATCATTTACCTTTTGTTGCAAGTTTCTTTTTCATCATAATAAACACAGTCAAACCTATGTAGAGGAAAATAAGAAACAGTGCTGTAGAAAATACTACAATCAGCATCATCCTAATCTTCCACTTCACGTCATGAAGATTATACTTTTCTGTAATCGAACCAGAAAAATAAAACAAAAGTTAACAAGATTTATCTCAATAAATCAATGTTTCTTGTTTCACAAAACATACCTATTTCTGAGGAAGCAAGCCTCACATACAGATCTTGTCCATTTGCATTATATTCTCTTATATCAATCAAATCTCCAAACCAAAGAATACATCCTCTTCCTCCATCTCTGATATCAAAATGCGAATAAGCTGAGCAAGAACAGTTTCTCAAGCATACCCTCTTGCATTCATTCAAATCCATGCTCTTATCGTACCACGATGCTCTTGTATCAGGTAACTTCAATTTAGAAATCTTCAAAAAGTCTTCTTTGCCTTTACCACAATTCAATTTCACTCTTCTAACACACCCTTCTGACCAGTCTCCTGCAAAATAAGCCTCTGGGAATTTAGGAACAAACCCTTTTAAACACCTACAGGCCGGAGATTCATTGATGTTGCAGCTTCCGTAAGAGCCACACAACGTGTAGAGATCACAACTATCCATTTGAGCCGATAAATAGAAGTTCCAACTTTGAAGGCTATCGACCCAAGTGTAACGTTGCAAAGCTCCATTTGGATTCAGCTGCATTCTTGTGATCACTGAAGGGTTTTCAAGCTTGTAAGTGTAGTACGCTTCTTCCTCAGTGAACACAAACTCGAATCGATAGATAGGGTTAGGTTTTAGGTGAGGCATACCGGTGAATCTTAGACCGTTCCATGGACCAGCCCTGAAGACATCAACCGAATTTTTCGTCAAGAAAAATTGCGGTACACCGTTTGGATCCATTTTGTTCGTGTAGTTACCAGTTGATGGATCGTCTGGAGATCTCCAAGATGTCAAGAACCGGTTGATTCCGGTTACAAAATCGATACCGTATTTCATTCCTGGAAGAAACGTATCTCCGGGGTAATCTAAACTCTGCCATATATAATCTTGTTCATTCCCTGAGTTTCTCACAACTAAATTACCTGTATCAAGAATCTGAACGATCGGGTTTCTTACGCTGATTTTCTTCAAAGAAAATGATGACCATATGATGGAGTTTCTGCCATTGAAGAGACATAAGCTCCCATTTCCAGAGATTTTTAGGGCTCCTGAGAGATCGTAGAGAGGCGAATCTCTGTTTGCGACCCAAACAACGGTCTGGAGAGAGACTTGTTTGTACCAAATTCCGAGATAACGATTTCTTGACCCTCCTGGAGAGAAAAAACCGAGCTCAAAGCTCCCACCTGTTGACACAATGGTGTCTCCGTCTTTTAGAGTCTGGTTTGATGTAATAATATTGGTTGCTTGTACGACAAGAAAAGTCAAAAGCAGAGAGATGAGAAGCAGAGGAAGCACATTAATGGCTTCCATGGTGGCTTCTGTGAAACCAGAGAGAGAGAGAGAGAGAGTTGGAAACGACGTTGCTATATAAAAAAATGATGCTAATCTGTTATTTTTTTTATTTAAATATTGGAACTAGAAAGGAACTTGGTTAAGGTTGGTTCGATGGAATAGTTGTTTATTATTTGTAAACGAGAAACATGGAAGAGCATTGCAATGAGTAGCTGTGCAATATCGTGTTGTTTATTATTTGCTCCTAATGTCAACCACATCGTGCCCAAGAATTATTTGTGTGTTTATAATATACTTACTATATAGGATAAAGGATGGAATAATTCATGTGAAGATGCAAATGTTATAAACTGTATAGTATATAGCCGTCGGAATTTCAGACAAGCGAACAGCAGGAAATCTGCTCTCTGTTGTTTTAGTCACAAGGATTATGTTCTCATTGCCATCAAAATGCTTTATTTAATATATAATCTATATGTTGAGTGATGTTTAAAAAATTACGAGTGAAGAGAAAATTAGAGTGGAGACTGAGAATTTTCTACCTTTTTAATATATGGTTTTGCAAAGGCTAAGTACACATTTATAGTTGGAGATACATAAATAAAATAATAGAGATGTGTGTCGGTAGAGTTATATGTCGGTAATAGATGATTATCCATTTTCTAACAGCAATTTTATTTTTCATTTGGAGCCTTATTATTTTGCTTCTTTGGAAAAAAAAGATACGACAAAAAAAAAATGGTTAAATGGGTTAAAGTTCATTGAGTATTCAATATGTTGTGAATTTGTAATGGGTTTTCTCGACCCAACCCGAAGTCCTGCACGATCGGTGTTGATGATTTGATTCAGTTTGTGGGCCGGCACACGGTGAAGCTATTGGTGAGCTTCATGTAACCTACTAAGAAAATAAAAATCGAGATGCAAGATGAATTGAGTAGAAATCGATAAAGGCCCGATGTACGTAGAAATCGATCAAATATCAGATGATATATAAATACAAATATACAATTTCAACTATATAAATAACTCAAGAATATTATCAATTTTATGATAGTTATTTTTGGGGGTCACATACGATGAGCCTATACAAAAGTTAGTTTTGTGGAGTTTGTGGGATATACTTAACAAATATTATTTATGAGAGGTTTTAAAAGAGCAGAATGGCAGTAAGAAAGACAAGCCAATAAGCGAAGCGAGGCAAGACCAAAGATATCATTAGCCATGCTCATGCATCATGATTCAATGTTCGTTCTTTGAACCTGAGTCATTCTTTTTAAGCATTATTGCACTGAGATCTCGGTTAAATTAAATATACATGATAATCATGAAATAATGACAATGACTATCGCCTATCGGATAAGCAAGATTTGGTTATGCTTTTTAGTTATTAATTAAAATAGAGACATACAATAGAGAACGGGCAGACCAACTAACAATATGTTTAGTCACAGATTGAATACGTCAGGATTGCTTCCTAAGCGTGAGGTCCTCTGGATTAAAAAGTGAAGTTTAGAGAAGCCGACAAGCATGAAAAGTTCTTGAGAGAGTTTATGATGTGTCTCTTGTTCAAGTTATTTTTTTTGAAATAGTAGAATCAATATAGTCATTATCCTTTGTTTTCTCTGCGAAGTTTTCTTGGGAGACTAATGGCTCTTTTTGACCAACCAATACTTTGTATTTGCAAATCTTCTTGGTCTCCTTATAAGGAAAGGAAAAATAACCAATGTCAATATGTCATGCTTCAATTATTTAACAAACAATTCCTCCTTTACTTTACTCGTTCAATTTCTACATAAAGCAGCGGACGATTTTACCCTCCGTTCATCTCCTTTTCACACACACGCAACTTTCCGTGTCCGGGAAAATAGAGACGACACCTTCGTGAAATTGACGATTTTACCCCTGAACAAGCTTCCGAGAAGAAACCTGACAACAAACAATTTGGGGATTATTCTCGCAATTTCCCGGACACGGACCTGACCTTCCTTCTCCATTATCATCTAGTTGGCCTCCATGGCTCTGTTCCTTCTCGGAAATCCCAAAATCTCCTCCTTTATATATTCACTCTCTATCATACCTCAAAGCAACAACAAAAAAAAACCAAGACTTTTCTAAATCCTCTCGTCAATAAACTTCGAATTTCAACAACTGTAATTCGCCCTAATGGCGTCTCCAAATTCACCAGCCAGACCGACCCAACAAAACCCAGAACCCAATTTCCACGATTTCCTTCCGGCGATGGCCGGGAAGCTAGGCGGCGAGGATCTGATCGGAGAGCTCTGCAACGGGTTCGAGCTGCTGATGGATCGAGAGAAAGGTGTCATTACTTTCGAGAGCCTCCGTCGGAACGCGGCGGCGGTTCTGGGTCTCGGAGATTTGACGGAAGAAGACGTCCGGTGTATGATTAACGAAGGCGATTTCGACTGCGACGGCGCGTTGAATCAGATGGAGTTTTGCGTGCTGATGTTTAGGCTTAGCCCCGACTTGATGGAGGCGTCGCGGTGTCTCGTCTCGGAGGCGATCGAGGAGGAGTTCGGCGATTGCACGCGCCGACATTGACACCGGAGAGATAGGAATTCTCCGGATGATTTCGTGGGTTTCTCTGTTTCTTTGATTTTAGTTCGACTGATTCATTTGTTACATTTTTTCACATTTTTATTGAGTTTACTATTCATAAAATTCATGGAATTATACGTATATTATAACTGAAAATTTTCAAAAGAGTCTTGTGCAATGTGCATCCAAAATTCTCACAAAACATTATATACGAATCACAAAACTTTATGGTCTATACCAATTTACAAAAATTATACATATGAGCGGAGTAGTCAAGTAAATTTCACAATTAAAGAGTTTCCTGGAATAACAATTAAAATAAAGGGATTGAAACATAATTTGATCAATTTTAAGGGGCTGCCTTGAAATTCTCCAAAGAGAGAAAACGATCCAGAGACCATAAAGTTTAAGACTTTGTTGTACTTTGGAGCTCGATTTTCGGAAACAAGAAAATCAGAAAAGCTTTCAGAGATAGAGAGATTCTCGAGAAGGAGGAGGGCATTTCTTCAATGGCGACCAAAGTTTATATCGTGTATGTAAAGACCATTTTTTTTTCTCTTTTGCGTATCAAATGTGCGATCATCAATAATCGATCGGTCAAAGTTCTCGGCTTTTTTCTTTTTTTCTTCCAAGTGACTCGTTTTGATTAATGGCTGTTCTACCAAACGTAAATGGTATGATTTTTTCATTGTGAATATTCTCCGACGAGCTGTTGACTTGTCTTTGCCTTCGCGACTGTAATTTGACAGCTTTCATTGTTGCGGGTTTAAATGTTAAGTTGCAATTAGAATCGATCGATGATCTGGTGTTGCATTGCCTTACTTTTGAAACTCTGCTATCTATGATGTGGATTGATGCAGCTTAGTGGTCGTTGACAATCTGGTCAGTGTAACAGGTACTACTCCATGTACGGACATGTGGAAAAATTAGCACAAGAGATAAGGAAAGGAGCTGCTTCTGTTGAAGGAGTTGAAGCCAAACTGTGGCAGGTCAGTGCGTTTTCCTGCTTTATGAGCTCCCTTCATTCTTTTCGTGACCAAAATCTTAGATTCTAGGTTACAGTAGACAGCTTCATGGGCAAGAACTAAATAGAAATCTTCGTAAATGTAGAGGAGTTGAGGCTAGAAACTACTAGTTATCTGGTATCTGAAAGAAAGGGGGGATGCATTTCTTGATTTTAATTTCCTGTAATATCTTTTAGCTGCTAGCATTCTTAGGCTATTTGATATTTTTTGAGTGATTTAACACTATTGACTGATGATGGCTACTTACTTCGATATGCCTGTTTTTGGGAATCCACGAGCTACATATTAATTCTAACTTGTATTATCTCTTTGGCATGTCCTAATGTCTTCTCTGCTTTTTGAACAAAGTGTGCTTCACTGAGTTTTTATCATCAAAAACTTAAGTTTGCTTGACACTTTATTCGCTGAAAGAAAGAAGAAGACAGTCTGAATTTTGATTTACTTATACATTTGTAGCTGCCAACATTCTCGTTTTCTCCTTTGTCTCTGCCAGCATTCATTTGTAAATCTTTCAACTTTCGATGTAGAACAACTACACATGCTAACATGACTACTTGTTATCATCCCAGCGGCATATTTTTTCATTAGCTCTGCTTTTAGTGTCTCTAGTTTGCTCCCAAAAGGCTAAGTTCCTTGATTCTGTATCTATTTTCTCATCATAAGTAATATTTGAATATATATATATATATACCTGTAGAGAATCATTGGGAACACTGAAGCATCAAACTGGCGTTTGTTCTTGACAGGTACCCGAGACGCTCCAAGAAGATGTGCTCTCTAAAATGAGTGCACCACCAAAAAGTGATGCTCCTATTATCACCCCAAACGAGCTCGCTGAGGCTGATGGGTTTGTCTTTGGCTTCCCAACAAGGTTTGGTATGATGGCTGCTCAGTTCAAGGCATTCTTGGATGCAACAGGCGGACTTTGGAGGACTCAGCAACTCGCCGGTAAACCAGCAGGAATCTTCTACAGCACAGGGTCTCAAGGTGGTGGTCAAGAAACCACCGCGTAAGTTACTTTTCATAATCCAAACAACACTCATCAAAGAGACAGACTTGCTTAAAAAAAAAAACGGGTTTTCTGTGTAGATTGACTGCCATTACTCAGCTGGTTCATCACGGGATGATATTTGTCCCGATCGGGTACACATTTGGAGCTGGTATGTTTGAGATGGAGAAGGTGAAAGGTGGAAGCCCGTATGGGGCGGGAACATTCGCCGGAGACGGGTCGAGACAGCCAACGGAGTTGGAGTTGGAGCAAGCATTCCATCAAGGGAAGTACATCGCTGTCATAAGTAAGAAGCTCAAGGGACCTTCTGCTGCTTAGAGTTCTCTCAAAGGATGAATTCTATTATATTCTTGATTCTTTGTTAGCAAGTTTTTACACTTTGGCATTTTGCGATTTTCTCGTTTTGGACATGATCTAAAACTGAAATGAGTTACTTCGGATCACGGCAATAAAAATAAAACCATTGGTTTAGTTCCTCTGTATATTTTTTATGTACACTGTATAATTAATGGATTTTTTTTCACGAAATGTTTCTAATTTGATCAGATTATGTGATAGAAAAATCAGAGGTGAAAAGTGGTTTTTATCCTTTTTATATACTTCCTCTAGTCAGAATTATTTGATGTTTAAGATTTTTGCACACAGATTAAGGATACATTTAATTTTTATTTTTTTCTATACTAAAAATATTATTTATAATTCATTTAAATATCATTCAACCAATAAAAAACAATCTGCAGAATATAAAAGGTCAAAACAATAAAAATTTATTAAATTTTACATTAAAAAGTGAAAACATCAAATAATTTTGAACAAAAAAAACTTTTAAAACATTAAATAATTCTGAACACAAAAAATATATAGTAACGAGAAATCATGAAATAAATTGTTGTAAATTTAATCAAATTCTGTTCTGCGTCATTTTTTTAATTATCCAAAATTGAAATCAACTAAATATTTTTTAAATTAATTTGAAATTCCAAGGAAAATTTTTTTTTATAATAATACGATAAATCTCATTAAATATGTATATATTTCTGTGAATCCTACGCTTCCAAATTATTGTTCTTATTGGTTTTTAACATTTTATTAATTAAAAGCAAAATTTTACTATACTCTTTAAAGGCCCAATAGTTTAAAGAAAAAAGACGACCCCAATAAATCCATAGCATAGTAGAAAGATCCAAAACTAGATTAAATCGGACCTGCTTCTAATATATAACAGCAACATCTGATTCGATTATGGGATCTCTTGGATACAAGTTACGACTTCAATGTCTATTGACTTCTTTGATGAAGCAAAGACATTTAAAAAAAATTCAGATTTGTTCCAAGGTTATCTTGTTAATACTTGACGAAAGTATATATCTACTAAACTTAACTCTTAGTTGTTCGGAAAAATGTGATATATTTGGTTTTGGCGTTTTGCTTACGTAAGGTTTCAGATTTTATATAACTAAGATAAATCAGAATATCTAACAAAAAAGTAACTAATCTATATACTATAAATGGTCTAAATTAAAACAACTGATCGTAAATATTAAAATAACTTCTTCTGGATTAGTCATATGTATATATATATAGATATGAGATGGGAGAAAGCAAGGGGACAAAACTTGTCTTATAACTTAAAATAGTCGAACCTGGGGGATCAAATTGGTTTATTCGATTTGAAGTACGACTTAGATGATATCATTTGGTCTAATAAATCAAGACATATAAAACAAAATAATTGAAACTTAAAGAGGGGTTACTAATTGGTCTCTTACTAATTTGGTCAAATATTATAACATATCCAAATAATCCATGAAAGTAATGCCAAATAAAAAGGGAATAAATAAATCCAAAATAAACTAACCCTGAATTTAATAATACTAAATCTCACATAATAATTCCATTGCTGTATGAAAGAGTGACAACACTATGTTGGGTATAAGTTGTTGCATGTGCAAGACCCGGAAATTAAGTATTATTCCTTTTGATGATGATGCTTTTATCTAGTAAATATTTTTAATGTCAAAGAGACTTTCTGTTATGAAAAAAGAGAGATCTTCTTTTTGTCTTCGGTTATGGTTTCATTTATTCTTGAGAGTTTCTAATTAGCCGTTTTTAATCGATAAGATGCTCTATAGTCTATATATTCAAAATAAAAATGTTGTAAATTAGGTTTCAAACCCTAAAGTTTTCAACCAGCATACTTAAAAAGTAGTGGGTGGCAATCATGCATGGTTTGAAAGGACTGACAAAATTAATTAAACACAAAAAACAGACACATATTACAGTAACAAATAAATACACATATGCTCAAATATGGTTTCTGACTTCGACCTAACAAGATAAATATACTGAAATAAGTCCTGTGAATCTTAAATTGACATATCAATTGTTAGGACAAAACGAAAAGTCGAAATGATGGTATCCTAAAGCAATCGAACTATTGATTCAAGGAAATTCCATGTGGGTCACATAATAGAAAGAATTGAGTAGTTAAATAATAGTATCACAAAAGCATAGCAATTAGTAATTACTACCATTCCACTGGTTAACGTAACTTCTTTTTTTATCATCATAGTTCATGTAAGTTGGCATATTAAAAATATGTAAACAAATCTCATGTGGTTGGTCGTGGACTAACAGATTGGTTCGGAAAGATTAGGACAAAAAATAAGATATTTATGATGGTTTTTAGAAAACAATGGGCCTGAGACATAAAAATATTTCATAGTGCATTATGCGTGTCTGCGTGTATATTCGAATGTCCCAATATTCAAACAACCCATGATGAGCATTGTTTAGGTGTTGTTTTCTTATCCTAATTAAAATGATATTATAATGTTTATGTCATCGTCTCAATATAGCAACAAAAAAACATTAACACTGTTCCATTATCAATCTTAAACTTAAATACGGTTTTTGTTGTCTCAAAGAGGCGCAAAAACGCCATATTATAGTCAAATTTTTATTTTTTGGAGGTCCATAAATGATACACTACGCTACGACTGAACTTATCTAAAGACTACAAAACATTATATATATATTGTATTTAATGTTAGAGATTGTACCAAAGAAATTTCTTGACTCGGTTGATTGATAAATCCAAAGAATAATAATTTAGGGGGGTGGAGACGTGGAGTCAAAACGTCATTTTTTTCTTCTACAAATGATTCAAAGTTGAAGATACAATGGAATTGAAGAACTAGTCAGACACTGTCGTTTTACTACAACAGTAAAAATGGACCAAGATCTCTGGTCTCTACGGCCCACTGTGTAAGCCCGAAAGAAGACCAAAGCTGTGTCAACCACACGTGCGGTGTATTTTAAGGGACCCGGTCAAAAGTCAACGTACTCTTTGTCGCACGTGGCCGTGTCTCTGAGTGTGCAATAAGTCCAATTTTGAACTCCAATTCAAATGGGGTGACCTCCCAAATCCTACACCGACTTCTTGTCTGCGCCATCTCAAAATTTATATTATCTCAATCATAAAACATATTATTATCTGATGTAAATAAAAAAACGTATTATTATCTTTTCCGACCAACAAACAAGTATAATATTTTTAAAAGGAGTCAATTAGCTTAGCAACTATGTCGAATATATCAAAGCGTTTAAATTATCATTTTCTCATATTATAACAAGTGTATATATATATATATTCCAATATGCTCTCTCAAGTCAAACTATCTTTGGTCGTCATTGCTAATTAAATTTGTTTTTTTGTGTTTCTCATAAGTTATAAATAAAAGCATTCGATTATTATAATTACGGAAATGTGTTTATATGGTGGGTTCATTGCCTCCGATCCACCTCATAGGTATGGGGCATTTTGCATACAAATAGTACATCATGCATATGCACAACTACAGGATAAGCTTTGCTTGATAAGTGTAAAATGTAAATGTGTATATTTTATAATATGTGTTGCACAAAAAAAAAAATATTAGACGATGTATATCCGCCAAGTAACTAACTAATCTTCGTCGTTTACATCCAACTATCTATTTATATATACATAATTGATTAATATTGAAACATCACGTATAGCTGAAATTTAAATTTGATTAATATACTTAAACCTTAATTTCATTTGTAAAAAAACGATCTTTACCTGAAAAGAAACAATTGGAGGACTATACAGGATAAGCAATGTTAAAAAGACATTATCACGTTGGGAACAGGCTCCATTACCAACTCCATCAGGTGATTCTCTTCTTAATAACTCCTTCGTTCAAAATCTAGAATCAATGCAGAGTCTAAATGATAACTATAGAAAGGACGTTAGTTTATTCTAAATGATAACTATAGAGAGGACGTTAGTTTATTCCCTTTCCGTTGAAGAATCTGGAAAGCGAGAAATGATCTTATTTTCAATAATAAGACATGATCAATTCCAGATATTATCAATAAGACTCTACTTGATTATCAAGTTTGGAATGAGGCTGTCCAACTTAATCAGTCTCAATCTCAGTTGATTCATGTTAATTCTAACGCTTCGGAACGGACTGTGAACCAAGTGAAAACATTTCAAGACGTGCTTATTAAGACCACTGACTACTGTTGTCTAACGGATGGTTCATGGATCTCTCCAAATCAGTGTGCAAGCGTAGGTTGGGTTTTATATAAGAAGAATGGCCAAATAGTTATTAGAGGACAAACAGCAATTATACCTACCCCTACACCATTGAAAACAGAAGCTGAAGCTTTGAAGATGGAATGATTCATACTTTGAGGCTAGGATACAAGAACATCATATTTTGTGGAAATGTCTCGAATCTGTTCCAATCAATTGCAACATTTTCAATGGCTAATGGTCAACAAAGAAGGAGTCATTCCATATTATTTACTTATTTGCAAAATTTTAATAAACTTGTTCACGGAAAAAGTGTAATAAATTTCCTTCTGATTCCATGCACTGTAAACTCTGTTGCTGATATGTTTGATAAGGATGTTAGGACTAAAGTTTTAAATCTTGTAATATTTTTGAACTGTGTACGTTAACTTTTCTATTAATAATAAGGACGACAAAAAAAAATAGACATTATCACGTGAACAGCCGTGTGTTCCTCCACTATTCATCGGTCCCAGTTGACGGAAGCTTGTGGACACTTGTTGCGATCTTAGAGGGTTGAACTTGTTACTGAATTAACGGTACACCTGACTCTGTATTTGAGTCCCCACAGACAGTAGCAGTGAACCGGTCGGTTCTGTGAGGGTTTGTTGGTTTTGTCTGTTTCTGTTTTAGGTCCCGCGCCTGAACTTCTCTACAGTTTTATTATCCTCGAATCAGTTCTTGGCTTTTCCATGTCCCAAGTAAATACTATACATTTTTACTGTGTCCCAATAATAAATTATACATTTTGATTAACAAGTCAATCAGTATTTCACAAGTTCGGTATATTTATTTTAATAATATCTATACACTTTTGTTTGTTATTTGTTGTTCAATAT